TGTGCCGTCGCTACGGCAAAAACGCTACGTTTGATGAAAAGGAGCTGCCGTGCCGTCGTGTCGTGTAGTTGCCTCGCCTAGCCAAAGGCAGAACTTAGTCGTAAGTAATGCACCGTACAAGCAGAGCGTGCAGTGTATTTGATTCGCTCCCAAGGTGAGCCGTGCTGCTCTTTTGGACTACAACCATGGCATAAAAAGGTGCATACAAATGGAGCATACCAAGCAATCAGCTTTTACTAAACGAGCGACAAGAATGAAGAGACAATGTCAGCTCTGAGAAGGTAAACTGCTCTGCGCTTTTTCAGCCATAGAGATGGGGAGAGGTGGTAGTTTTCCAGTAGCGTAAAATTAATTATCCCAAATTTGTGTATAATATTATTACATTCAAGTTTTTCTCGCGCTATGTATACCGTTTCCCTGCGGCCCCAGTCTCCCTTTGTGCTGCTCTGATTTATTTTAACCATTATTTCCTTTTTTTAATACGGGCGATTCGCAAAAGTGCGCCTCCAAGAGTTCGCAACGCGTTGACCAGTCATTATGTGCGAAATCTGTCAACCTTTTCCAAATGTTCAATGGGTCGACAGATTTTGCGTATTGTAATTTTTCAACGCGTTGCAAGCTCTTCGAAGTGCAGTATTTTGAATCGCCCGTATTGGGGCTACAGGAAGCAGGACCCAAGTTGATCTACCGGGGGGGGTTCTATCACTTGGTGGCGCTGTCCGCGGTGCTATTAAGAGCTGTATACATAGCTCTTCGTAACGCGCAGTTATGTCTAAATAATATTGATCACTCGCTGCTGTGGGTCATAGTGACTTGTCCAGGGCGAAATCTTACTTTAAGATCATTAGGTCCGTTTAGAAAACATTGAGTGCCCGATTTTTATTATTAAGTTTTATTGCTATTTATTTTCCAAGTCATGCCTGCCGAGTAGGCCCACTCCATGTGAAGCACGGAGTTGCTATTTTTGCGTCGGGGAGATATCAAGCTCCTAGTGATGACGAACGGCTCTAATTCATAGCAGGTCGTCAAAAAAGAAAACCATACATAGAAATTTCATATATACCAATTTTGCATATGTTCAGTGACTAGTATTTTCTATGAAGTTCTTTTACGGATCTTACTACCAAGTCATATATTGGAAATGCTCCTTCTGATATAGTCTCTGCTTCAAATTCCCGCTCTGTCGAATCATGGGCATTTCTTGTATTATATTCAACGCTGGCCACCATTTTGAAAAATGTGTAGTTTTCCATTGACGTTCCTGGTGTAGCCTATGCAGGCCTACACAAGTGTGTATGGCCATGAGCATCAAAATGACTGGAACAACAAAACTGTATCTTGGATTCAGTTAAATTTTACATTTGTACAGATAATGAGTCTTTCGCATGCCTGCTAAGTTTCAGAAAAATCATACATGAGGCGGTGAGTACCTGAACCCCCTCCCGTGTGAGATGGTCCTGAAAACGCCCAGCTATTTTAGGGTTGATGTGTACAAACGTTCAGCTCTTTGTACCGCTGAGGGCGGTGGTTGGAAATTACGTTGACGCCCGCAGTGACTGCAGGTCCGGCGTTTGATAGTCTTTATCTCAATGAGCACCTCATAACGAACAGGCAACTTATGTTTAGCTAGTATCTGGAAAAACCTTCCACGGTTTGCAGCTCACTATTCACTTATCACTTCAGTGTTTATTACAACTACAAACACAAGTGGGCTGTCAAATCATTTGCTTGCCTCACAAAATTACATAGTTTTCAGATTTCATGTTTCTATGGTTTATTTGTCCTGACATTATACAGGTGATCCTTTGCTCTTCGACATGGCGAAGAGAACGCTTGTTGTTTATACGATTTTTACTGTCGTCCTCGACATTAAAAGTCTGTTTACAGTTTCCGGCCATGCGGCCAGTTAATAGAAAATGCTGACAGGACGTTAATATTGAATTCTGAAATGGGAACCGGACCGAACTGAAAACGTAGGATGTACCAATGAATAGTGAATAACGTCTCATCTTAAAAGTGACTGAAACCTCAAAAAGAAAGAAAAAGAGGAAATTGAAACCAGTGATTAAATGGAGTCAGATTTCAGCGGTTGTCAGAGGTCTAGGTTTGTCCGGTGCAGTCGCGCTATCGGGAAAGGTGGTAACTGTACGTACTCTGAGTGCTTGGCTGATTTTTCACTGGTTCATCATTACATAGAATAGGAGCGATTTACTCTGCATGTGCCTCTTGATAGTAAAAGCAACTTCGTTCCCATGGGTACAATCTTCCTGCGCCATGCCACCATGCATTGCCTGATCTCGATGTCCTTGGAGTCGAGATTAGAGTAAAAGAGCTAAAGTCAATGGAAGCGCGCACAACAGTTTTGGAAAAAAGTTGACAGTATGCAGTGCGGTTTCGTACCTGGAACAAAAGAGGGCGTGTTTTTAAATGAAATTGACAGCCCTTTTGGTACCAACCACAGACATATAAACGCATAAATCCCCAATCCTGCCCATATAAACGTGATTTTGAAACATATGGGCAAACAATGGGCGAAACGATGGGTGGCAGCGCGTTCAGAGCGCGTTAAGCGCAACGCCCTTACATTGACTGTGTTTGTTAACATGCGCTTCAAAATACGTTCACCTTTTTACTTTTCTGTACTGGTATCTCATCTTTTTCAAATGTTGCAACCGCATTGTTTTGAATCCCTGTGTGTCAGATTAAGTGATAATAGATTTTTACAATCGAAAAATGGCATCAGAGAATTTTATGGCTGGAAGCCATCAACTATGCGTTAATTCCCTTTACTGAGGGGTGAATTTGCCCATAGTTTTGATTTTGGTTGGGCGCCGCGCAGATCACGAAAAAGTCCCGCAGTTTTGAATGAAGTGCTGAAGTGCACCCCCAATCAGCGGAAAGAAAGACAGGTGGTTACAAGCGGGTTCTTGCACGCGTTCTGTAGCTGTTTGTATCCAAAGACCATACATGCCGGAGTAAATTAGTTACGCGTACTCAGTAACTGTAAAGCGTCGAAAGCGCATATACTTACGCGCCTCATGGCGCGTCTTTGCGGTGAGTACCAAAAAAAAACACGCCTTCTTTTGTTCTTCTTGGAACGGATTGGACCTGGCAGTCTATGCATTTATAATGTCTGTGGTACCAACTCAGCGCGTAGGCGCGCAAGAGTATGCATGTTTGACGCGGAGCACGCTGAGTACCCGCAACGATTTTTTTTCCGAACGTATGGTCTTTGCGTACACGCAGAACGCGTGCAAGAATCCGGAAATGGGGGAACCAACATGGCGTCAAGATCCATGGGAACGAGGTTGGCTCAGGGCGGATAGCGCCGTCAAAGTGTTGTTGCCAAGTACAATGCATACGTATGTGGTATTCCTGCCGCGACCAATCAAAATTTCTCGTCGGTCATCTCCGTTGGGTGTCCGCTTGTACAATACACAGCCGGAAGAGCGTGGCGTAGTTACTGATGTCAACCGGCAAGCCGGAAAGGCATCCTTCCATGAGCACCGCCCCGTGAAAGGGTTGATCGGCGCTTCAAGGTTACACTCCGCAACTCCTTTGCTTTTTTTTTTACTTTTTAGTCCTTAACAGCGCCCGGAGATGGGGATTATGGGTGATAGCGAAACGCGTGACACGGGGTGCATCTTCTAAGAGATTGTAGGCCCTACCCGTTTTTGTTTTTTTTTTCAAGGAGTTTACCCAGGAGACACGTTAATTGCATGCTGGCCTGTTTAAAATCTCAGCATGAGCTGGCGTTCACAGTGATTTGTTCACAGTGATTCACAGGGACCCGTTGTTCGCTAAACCATGCTGTGACGTCTTTGTTTGATTTTCTCTCAAAATAATGGCAGATATAGCATGTTTTAAAGTCGTGGTTACTACCGCATATAACGATTTTGCTCTACCCTTTGGTCCCATCAAGTGCAGCAAGATGGTATAGAGCGAAATGAAATGCTCCGCGTGTAGACGGCCGCAGTATGTTCCTAATTACGGTATTTCTGCTGGGTTTCTCGCAGTTTTTGACTGCAGTTTTCGTACCTGTGTCTGTGATTGTCGGTGGGGATACATCGTCATCTTTACTAGCAAGACAGAGGATTGTGCCCGCTGTTGAGGTAGCGTTAGAGACGATAAGTCAGCGGCTTGCCATTGGCGAATACGCCAATTTCTCTATAGTGTGCGAGTACTCGTTTCTTGGCTGTTCAGAGCCGGTGCGCGCCGATGTGGCGGCGGTTACTGCGTTGTACTACCGAGGGGAAGTGGCGGCCTTCCTGGGCCCGCCTTGCATCGACGCATTGGTCGCGGCCTCCGATTTGGCCGCCGTCTGGAATGTCCCTCTCGTGTCCCCGTCCGCCAGCGGGGTAGTACTGCAAGATAAGGCGAGGTTCCGCACCCTCACCCAGCTCGCCTACCCGACCAACACGCCCCAGGATTTTGTTGCGAAGTTGTTTCAGAGATTTGAATGGAAAACCTCAGTGGTCCTGCATGACCCCGAGCACAGAGAATGGGCCCACAGCATTGCCCATGCTTTGCAAACACACAATACTGAGTCTCACGTGCATGTACTTGTGTCCGAGAGCTTGGAGTTCTTAGAAGAAATCCTAGAAGAAGAATCTACTAGCTCAAGAAGTAAGATTTTACACATCCCCAAATAATGAGCACAAAGAGCAGAAGCAAAAACTTAGGGGAGGGGCTACAGAGCCGAGTCCACTCTCCTTGTTCTTCTTTTTTTTTCAACTTAGTGGGAACACGGTTCTTTTAAGGGAGTATTCAACCCCCCGCTGTCTTTCATGATCGACTGTTGTGAAGCCTCGAAAGACAACTTGTCTGTTTTACAAACTAAGTCCAGCATTTGCCACTGGTCAGCCGACCAGCCGGCCAGAGAAGGGAAGAACCCGGCAAGTCAGTGATTAAAAATCAGACACGCAGATGACATTTTAAATTAGTGTGTAAAATGTGTCATTTTTCTTTCCTTCCCTCTCATTGTGTGTGTGTTTAAACAGTTATCTTCATCAGTGCGGACGGCAATTTGGTTCGTAAGATCATGATCAGCGCCTATCATCTTGGCATGGTGTCGGGTGACTACGTGTTCTTCAGCTACCATCCTTTCAACAACACCAAATCCTTTGGGCGTGACTCCTGGAATCAGGTGAGTGGGCGTATTATGCCAAACGGAAATGGCAAGTAGCGCCAGGCTCTAACCAATGTGATACAAATCTGTCGGGGGTAATAGTTTTTCTTCTGATCCTCCCAGCATGTATCCTGTATGTAATTTTGAGAAGCCTTCAAGAGTTCAGGTTTGGAAAGCCTTGATTACCTTTTTAAGATAAATTTAGAAAAATGTGGACGGTTTTCCCGGAGTGCTCCATTTTTACGCTGGCAGCTGAAAACTGTTGACCTGTCCACTGACCATGCACAAATTAACGTAGTATTAAAATGCAGCTCCCGATTTATGTACCCAATTTTATTGGTTATACTAATTTGGGGTGTAACTACTGCGTAACCTAGCTCACCGGTTATTAAGTAAAGGAAATTACGAAGTAGCCACTCGAGGAAATTAAACGCCATCAGTGCCATGGGTTAAAAAGCCGAAAGGACCTATAGCATTGACTCCAAACTGGTAAATTTTATATCGTTGATAGAGACCTTTTCCATCGCCACAGCAAATACAATACGTCTGATGCTACAGTCCTGCAGACAGCTGAAGGTTGCAATTATGAATCTGGAATCAAAATATGTGGACGAGGAAAGAAATCAATATTCCCATTAAATTGCTTGGTGCTCATGCCAACTGATCAAGATCCGTCGCTTTTATTGAAAAGCGACTCTGTCTGAGGACTATCGATCGTTCTCAAAAGGGCTACTCTGCAAATGGGCAGCCAGAGTTTGAGAAATATCACCCTTCAAGTTGGCTGGTTTAAGATTTTGGCCTGTCCTGGAGGAATGTAATACATATTACAGATGTACATCTGTGTCATGAACATCACCCCCCTGTATAGTGTCATTAGGTGCCCCCCAACGCTTTTCAAACTTCCATGGCTGGGCAAGTCAAGCCCCACATCTCCTCAGTCCCCCAATTCGAGCACAAATGGGGAATAGACCCTTTGCATGAAGGCGGAGTCAGAGGCTATTCTTTGTTATTTTAATTTAATTACAATACAGGCACAGAAGGTTGGCTGGAGCCTATCACAGAGGAATAAAGAGCTGCCCTCCAATTTGACGTCATACGCAGGGGGTCTATATATTCCCCAACCTCCCTGGGTCCGGTATCCCCGCCTGCTATGAAATCACTCTAGGCCCCTTGCCATCGTACGGCTTTGAGCAGGAGTTCCACTTGGTCTGCTTTGAAATACCACAAAATTAACATACACGGAACCTCCCGTTACCATCATTCATGTTGGCCTTGCTTTGGTGAATAATTCAACACTCTACAAAATAAGATAGTGATGGAACAAAAAAGGCTTTTTTAATTGCACCATTTGGGGAGAGTGGCAAGGCAGGAAGCAGGCTGTTGAGGGTGGCGCTACCGTTGTATGTTTCCCATTATGATTTCTTGTCGAATGCCATGTTTTACCAAGGATGGTACGTCATAAATGAAAAGAGGCAAAGGATTTCTTGATCCAGTTTGTCACATATGATTTCGTATCATTGAATTAACCGGGAATGTGAGGCAATCGGGAAAAAATGGGTTCCATTGAGGTTAATATTAATAAAATAAAACAAAATATACCACATTCACATCATGAAATCTACCCGAAGTGTTAAAGCAAGGCTCCTTTGAGGTATTTGTTTAAACTTCAGAGAGCCAAACTTATTACAAATTGCATTTGAAAAAGATAATAACATCATTCTGAGGAGGGTACAGTTTATAACAGAGCATGATACCATATCTATCTAATCTAAAGGGGGAAGAGTCCTTTTTGTTTCGCCGCTGTAAAATTCGCGGTCAGGCTGCGTTGTTTTCGTTCAGTGAAACATATCCTCGAGGCAAGTGAATGATTAAAATTTCATAAAATTCCTGGATGGAGGACAATCGACGTCGTGGTTTAGAATCGTTCTCTAAGGGTCTTTGGAAAGCAATGTCATCAAGGAATGTGCCCAGTGATCAAGCCCTGAGCACGCTTGGCTAGAGGGACTTGCATAATTTGTTTTGCAGCACGAACAATGGTGTCTTTGGAATATAGACATCGAATGAATGCTGTGATACCCTGCGCTGAGTGCATTCATCATTGTAAAAGTAAATTACAATCAATGCACGACAGCAGAGACCTGAGACGCCCAAACTGAAGCGCGTGCAGATACAGAATGTGTCGGTGGGTGCCAGACACTCGGATAATTAAGAGGAAGACAATTAGATTCCAAGGATGTCCAAGTGGGATAACTGTAGGCATTGCGCGAATGGAAGCTCTTTTGTGCTTGTGTTAAAGTGTAGCTGTAATGAATATTCCTGGACAGAAGTTTTCTGCACCTTTGCATTCTCCTTCGATGTATCAGAACTCATATTTCTTAAATTTCTGTTTGGTTAAATGAACTTTTGAAGCGCTTAAAATTATCCATGCTTTCCTTGACAACTGAGGGCACTGTTGCATGCTGTGATGTCATCCATGGAAGACATAGTATAGGGCACAGGTATTTCTGTTCAAGCTGTGAACCCAGTATAAACTTACTGAGAACATCTCTGAGAAAGTAATTTATGCTTATGCAAATAAATAACAATGGATCAGCGAAGAAGAGAAACTTTAGTTCAGCAAAATCTACAAAAAAGCTGGACTGTTTTGGTATAGGTCTATTAGACAAGCCAGTGCAACGTCCTGGGGTGACATCACACTTCTCACGAATATGGAAATACTCATTAGCATAAAAATCAAAACGGATGTAAAACACCCTTTGAAATAGTGAAACGAAAGTTGCCAATAAGATTATCTGAGATACAAGGAGCAATTTGAAGGGTTCCATTAAAATGAATTAATTGCAGCTACCCTTTAAGGAGTCAAGTATCGAATAATGCATTATCAAACATGGTGACATTCTTCAAGTGAAGTTCAGTCAGCCGTTGTGGGTCAACAGAGCCGGTAATATATTCTTCTAACCTATTGGTTTATGCAAAGCAACATAAACTAAGATTATATTAACCTCAACCCCCCCCCCTTTTCATTCCACAGCATCTAATCGATCTGAAGGTTACGCTCACTAAAAGGCAATTAATCAGAACAATTCCCTCGGCACGATGAGAAGGTCAACCTCGATTACATAGCCAGTCGGTAAGCGAGGCAAACACGCCTTGGTGAATCTTCAAAATGACTTGTCCCTGGTAGGAATCGTAGTTGATCTATACACGGTGTCCTCCTGAATGGTGACCCACCATTTCAAACGAAGAATATTATATCAGTAGCGTAACCAAAATTTTAAGAATTTTTTTGTGCTGATCTGTCTGAAATCTGATGAATCGCGACATGGGACGTTAGATTAAAGTGCAAAGGAAAATACCTTCAAATAATTCGACATCTAAGGTTTTGGAGGTAGATTTGCCACCCCCAAACCAAATACCATGAATTTGTCTGTCGACACGAGAAAAATAAGAGGCAATTTCCATCCACAACCAACTGGCCGATTTCGGAAAAGCTCAAGGACAGATTTTGTGTTTTTGTGGGTTGATGACGTAACCGGGAGAAAAGCACAACAGGCATGCATGAAGCATGCATGAAGATACATGTAAATGGATTCGGGAGTCGACAGAAGCTAAACCGGAATACCTCAAAATGGACTGCGCAAGCAAAGACAGGATATTGAAAAAAAATTACCAAAGTATTTCCAAATCGACTGTTATCTTTTTGATGGCCTAATTTTGTAATCGATTCAAAGGTGGATTGAAAATTCTATTTGCAATAGCCAAACAGACCGCGGCTGTATCGCCTGAATTATTTTACATTGATGAAGATTTGACCTGTCCACGCATTGTCTCATAATGGAGTAGTGGGAAATGAATGCCAGGTAAAGTGGAAAAGCTATGCATCGTGCGACAGACCTGTGTAACGACTGTAACCATGAAGACTTTGCACAACCTTAAAAGTGAGGAGATACTGGTGGAGCATCTGTCAAGGCCAGATTCTAGGAGCATAATGACCCGCTTCCCTCCGCATTTCTACTGCTAAAATGTCCTTTCTTTGGACGTGAACTGTCTCTTGCCTACAGACATGTTCCTAACGCTTTTACAGTATATTCTGTCCCCAGTTTTTGAATAATATTTTCCATACGATGGAAGTCAGTGAGGGAAGTCTTTAAATGCATGCAAGATAGGGAGCTTTCCCCTAGACTATAATATGCCTGTAAAAATGGTCGCTTCGATGGTTGGATAAAGTTTCCCTTCGTTTATGGATTCCCACTGTGGAGACGCCTTGTAGATATGGGAGTTGGAACGAAACGCTAGTAACATCGTTTCGACGGGAGAACCAATCAAGCTATAACATGCATTTGTTGTATCTATCGATTGCAGTGACTTCAGTTGTGAAAAGCGAAAATCCAAAATATTGTCGTATTACGACTGTACTGCCATCGCCATATTTACATTTTGATCTCATCCGACAAAAGCTGCAGCATGGCATCTTTGGTGTTATCTCCTATTCTTACCCCAGCTTGGCATTAGCCTAGATTCCAACCCTGAATTGCTGGGCCAGTTAGCATCTACCACCTTTTGTGGATGAAAATACAGTACTTTGCACTAGCTTTCTTCTGTGAAGTTCAGCCTTAGGTCAAGAAAGCTGATCAGTTATTCATCTGACCTGTAGGTTTTAACATGACACTGCTTAATGTGTTAACCCCTCCCTTTTCAATTCTGTGCATCTGATCGAGTTAAGGGTTACGCTCACTAAAAGCAATTAATCAACAAATTCCCTCGGCTCGATAAGAAAGTCAGCTTCGATTGTAACCACTCAGAAAGCTAAAGGTGACAAGGGGGAATTAAATCTGCAATATGTCCTGTCCCGGGTAAGAATCTTAATTGATCTGTGCAGGGTGTCTCCAAGAGATAACCTACAATTTCAAACGATTATTTCTTCCATCTATCGTAGCAATAATTCATTGAAACTTGGCCTGCTTCGGTCATGAAATGTATGGCTTGGCTGCTTTATGCAAAATGCCCTATTAATTAACTCACATTGTTTCAGTAAATTTTGTGTGACCAACGTCGGCCTAATGGGAGACTTCTCTGTTGTGACAATATGCAAGACAAGATCTAAGACATTTGTATTCAATACAACGCTGACCCTGCGTTTATTCATGTGCATGTACATCACTCAGGGCTGAACTGGGCTTTAAATGTTTAATATCACCGTGAAACCCCTTCCATGAAGAGTAAAAACCGCTCTGAAAAGAGTGAAAACCATTCCAAAAAATTAAATATTTCCACTATGCCAGGGAGCCATACATAGGTCCACTTAAAAAAGAGTTGTGCCTTATATGGCTCCTTTTTAGAGGGATTTTCACTCTTTTAGGGTGGTTTTCATTCTTTCAGAGCGGTGTTAATTTATAAGAGACTGCCTCTTTTGGAGTGTGGATTTCTCATCGTTTTGCCCTTAAAGAGTAAGATTACTAATTAAAAGCCTTAAAAATTGTCAAGGGGCTTGATGTAGTGAGTTGTTTGCTTTGTTCAAGGGGGATGAATACGACGATATATTGAAGGTCGCCTATCGCGCTCTAATGACGATACGCCTCTTCGAACCGACAACTGATGAGTACGTCGCCTTCCAGCACGAGATCAACGACCGTATGCAGCGTTACTATAACTTCACACCTGAACCGGGAGACGAGGTGGGTAAATTTGGCTGAGTAACATCTCACCGCGCCGACCGATAAGTGAGTGTTCCCGTTGGCATTTTTGTGAAATGTATGCATGGGTAGGCTCTAAGTAAAGGCTTTTACTTGGGCACTTATAGACCGTATGCCAAGTATTTGCTCAAAGTCGTTTGTTTGGAAGAAGGTGCCGACTCTTCATGCGCAAAGAAAAACCAGCTGTACGTTTGCTTGTTACTTGGGGAATAGATATTTATGTCTTGTTCAAGACTCGCCGAGGAGAATGGACGGACTAATGCCTGAGCCGCTGGCACCCCTTATGCATTGCCTCTGGTTTGCACAGAGGATCTTTTAAGCATTCCTGCACAATCACCTTCATTTTGTCAAGTTGCCAGCTAACAACCCACCTGGGTGAAGTCCTCCGAAAAGTTGGTAAGGTTTTCCGTAAATATCATTCTGTCTAACAGCTTTTGTTTGTGGCGGTGAATCTACGTTTGTTTTTCTTAGTAACCACCCAATAACTATTTACTTTCTTGAGCCGAGAGTGTAATTTGTAAGTGCTGTTTTTCCTCTTCAGGTGAATTTCTTTGCCACCTCGTTCCATGACGCTTTGATATTGTACTCACTAGCCATAAACGAGACTTTACATGAGGGTGGTGACATCCGTGATGGCATGGCGTTACGGGAGAAGATGTGGAACCGCACTTTCCAAGGTGATGCCATTGCATGATCCCTGTCCACGTTACGTATTATACTGTCATATCCCAGTGCATATTGAAGGGATCGTTGTATTGGTCCGGTACCACGTCCTCTGAATGCATTTTCCCAATCTCAGCTTTCGCCACGTCAGAAATACTTAACTGCTGTCTGAAGAATGCATGTGTCTATGAGCCCCAACGTGGACCAGGAGAGGGCGCAATTTGCTTAGAAACAGAAGCTCTTTTTGGGTCGGAACTGCAACCATAATGATCCTTACACTTAATGTTTCCTCACCGGAAATTAGGTCAGTACTGAACTTGTGTTGATCTCGTAGAATATAAGCTTACGAAATAAAGCCAAAGCATGAAGTCCAGGGCCGACATTGGTCACTAAACGGCAGTTCACACTTGGCGAAAAAGTAAACCCGAAGGCAGTTCGTAACCTCAGGTCAAATGGTCATGGAGCGACTTTGCAAAAGTTTAACCAAATTATTTCAAATTAAATGTTTCGGGAAGTCAATGCCGCTTTGCTTTTGTCTTCGCCGAAGATATGGACCTTCCCTTTAAGCGTATTTTTCTTAGCATAGCCACGGTTAGAATTTTTTTCCCGCTTTAACTGCATGATATTCGGTGCAGGGGCAAAACGTATTTCGAAATATGAAATGCGGACGCGATTCTACGCCATTGCTTTACCAACTAGGTGTGACGTCACTCAAGGGCGGATTCGGAATCAAACTTTTTCGGAAAAGGGCAAAAGACTATTGATATCCTTCCTTAAAGGTAAATCTAAACATTAAGGCTTTTACACGATTTTGAAAGACAGGGGAACGCAGTACTCTCCTGATCGCCGTTTTCCTTTAGGTCATATTAAAAACAGCCCTTGGGCACAGCCCCCGTTGCCCCCTTTGATCTGCCAGCGACGTAACGTACCAACCAACAAAATCTCAGACCTGCTGTCTGCTTCCAGACTAGAAGGCTTGGGTGCATAGTCCATTCCAGTGTGTGCTCCAGCCTAACTTAATTAGAATCAGTGAGTGATCTCAGCAAGTCAATCAGGTACATTGAAAACACTGCAATGTACCGGGAAACAGAAACACCGATATGTTTCCTGGCTTGATTCAATTTCGAATGAAGTGATGGCTGGAAATTAACTTTAGGTTAAACCAGAAGCCAAAACCCAAAACGTGCTCTTTTAAAAAGTGTCTCAGGCCTTGTGAGTAATTTCATGGCGAGGTTGCGACGAAGTGCGTCTTCATCAAGCAAAAATGGAATTAATAAACGGATGAAATGTGTGATGACAATGTGTGATTAACTATCTCTTTGAAGCACTTCCAAGTGGATAATAGTATGATAAATGCTGACAGCAAAACATTTCAGAGAAATAGGCCTAATGTCCTATGAAAGAAACCGTTCCTTTTCGAATACCCATTTTTCTTTAAAAAGAGAGACCGGGGTTTCGAATACTACCTCGACGGCAGGCGCTACTTTTTCTCTACTGTTTGTTTGTGTATAACGTTTGTCGTTCATCTACCAAATGACAATGGAAGGTCATTGCGATTTGCTGTAAGATTTCTGTAAATCCTTTAAGGAGATTTCCTTCGTCAAGGAAACGTGTGTTGTCATCTAGCTAGAAGTAAAACGTCCCTCGTGACATGGACAAGCGATATGAGGTAGTCTCTTTTTATTCCCAATGCTGCAACTTCCATGGTTACGCTTTAATAACCCTTTTTCCATCAAAAATTCGAAGGAGGCTAAGAGAGTTTCTCTCCACTTTGAAAAACAAATCGATTTTAAAGATTTATCCGTCTTTTATGACGCAACTTCGATGACTGAACAAGTAGAATTGTCATTGTGCATAATAAGCAAATGTACACATTTGTGTCCACTAGTTTTGCTTCTTGCTTTAATGGAGTTGAACGCCACTGTAATCCCACAATGGCTGATTGTTTGCTCTGTGTTTTAATTACAAAAACGTAGGGCATACGCATAAAATCAGCAATTCATTTGGAACAGTTATGTTTCTAGTTGCCAAGTTAAAAACCCAGATTGCACAGCATTTTGTTTTTGAAAATCAGTTATCTTGTTGATTTAATAATGACGAATCAACTTGACGTACACAATTTCACATTATCTCCTTCGTTAAACCTATGGAGTACCGAAGTGTGACGCCATTTTGAACCAGGAAGTGTCAAGTCGCACTATAGTTCTCGCGCTATTAGCTTTTACACGCATTGTACGCATGATGTATTCACTTCAGTACTCTGTAGCTGTCAGGCTTGTGACAGCTTCACCTCGGTTTTTTGGAAAGGGGGAACATTGACATTGGCACACAGGACTTCATGAAGAGTATAAGAGCCATATTATCATATCATTTTCCGCATGACATCCCCCCAGGTATCGGCGGTGAGGTTGGCATCACGGCCAACGGCGACCGAGTGGCTGTCTATTCCCTGTGGGACATGACCGACACTGAAAACGGAGTCTTTGAGGTAAGACGATTCGGCGTTCAATTTCCGTACGCAAAAAGCCACAGACGGTGAGGTCCACATTGTTTCCCAGTAGCATTTTGTCTAGTTCCGAAGGGACCGGACCGCATTGTTCAGGGTTTTTGCATGTTCTAAAATTGTTATATACCAGCGCTCTTGAAGTTAGTCTTGGCAATGATAAAGGAGGAGGGCTCGGGAGCCGATACAAAGACACTCTCTAAGCGAGTGTTGAGAAGTAGATGTCATTTAAACATATCTGGAAACGTCCATAATGTGGATATCGTCCACAGACAGTCAAGATAGAAGTCTGCTCTTACCACATTCTTTTACTTGGGTTTGCGCTATGTTCGTATTGTCACGAATTGGAGTCGGTTCATACTACAGGCGAACGTGAAAGCGAACTGAATCGGACGTCACGATATATTTCCAGCCAAATGCCGCTCGATGTGAAGTGCATGTAATAAATCTTTTGCGATTTAAATTCAAATAAAAGCTGGTCCACTGAGTGATCTCATTGCGCATGCACGTAACAATTTAAATTCCTCAGACGAGAGACACTCAGGCTGTTGCAACACCTTGTGATTTGGGGCAAGCTTTTGAACAGCGACCACCATCTCTGGAATGGACTACTCTCTTTGCGCCATTCTTACCCATTGAAGACAGCGTATTGGTGCACGGCTTTTCTTATGTAACTAAGCGAAAGCTTGGCCCGAATCAGGAGGTATAGCAACAGTTTATTTAGTATGGCGAATTTACACTGTTATCGTCGCTTGAATTTAAAGAACTCACGGTACCAGAGTTGGTTTAAGTTTAACCAGAAAAAGGCTTATTCGAAGGCCGAATATTTGATCTGACGTCACAAATTCGCGTTTGTGTTCGCTTTCGCACCCGGTACGGGTAACTTGCCTTTAATGAACGTTTTTAGTCATAAATACCGCTGTAAATTGAGGTCTTTAATTCACTCCACCATCACAACAAAAATACTTTTCTGTTGCTAATCAGCGAAATGTTCAAACACATCACTGCTGAACTCCCCAGCACCAACCTCCCCCTTGTTCCTTTCACGACACTTGCAACTTTCACCACCAACAACTCACCATTACACGTTATCATCACCACAGCCACCAATGGCGTAACTACAGGGTGAAATATTTGAAGCACAGTGGGGGTGTACGCATTTTTTTTCATGGGGCATTTAAAATAACTGTGGGTTTTTATGCTCTGTGCATTAAATATTTCAAACGGACGGGGGGAACCTGGGGGCACAGACTCCCACAGGGGGAAATCACATGCACCTCCCCCCCTCCCTTGTTTTGTTTCCTAAGATACAAAAATCACGATACCAAACTTTTTTTGTCAGGTGGTTGCTGATTACTATGGTATAACTCAAGAGATCAAGTTTCGCAAGCCGATCATCTGGCACGGCGGAAATGGGGAAGTTCCCAGAGACACGCCCATCTGTGGATTCTACAACGAGAACCCAGAATGCAATCCCAAAGGTGTGTTTTCCGTCATCCTGTGCATTTTTATTTATTTATTTATTTATTTCTCCGACTTTCGTCTGCTAGACTTACCTTCGAAGTGAAGCCTACGGGATCTCAATACGCTCACATAATCATTGCAGCGCGTTGCATACAGCCGTTGCCGTATTGACGAATCCTGCATTGTGGCCATTGGAGAATCTGTTTTCTTTATATCCAGACAAATATCAGCCAAAATGTAAGAGAATACGGGCGATTCACAATCGTGCGCCTTTTCCAAACGAGGATTGGGTCGACAGATTTTGCGCATTGTGATTGGCCGACGCGTTGCGAATTGTTGGTGGCGCACTTTTGTGAAATGCCCGTACTGCGGACACATGTATTTATTTCGACATACACAAAGACCATGACCAGGGCAATATTTTCGAAAGTCGGGGGCCACTGGACTGAGGCCCTCTGTCGGCTATAAAATTAATTAGCAACAAAATTCAGACTTATAAACCAACCGACAAAATGAAACCTACGTTGGTACAATGGTAGCATGACTCTCTGCTGCATCAGAGCCCTCTCAGCCTGCCTAAGTGAGAGCTTTACAGATGAACTCACAATTAATCTTCTAAAGTAGGCGCGCTGCGGGAACTCAAACCACAGGACAAAGAAAGAGGTGTGGCTAGCCGAGTTTTTGAGTGCAAGCGTCACTCCAGTTATAAATATGGTTTTTTTCCAGAGTTTATACCGTCACATACAAAGTTTCCAAATGTGTACCTTTGGACTTTTAAAGTACCGGACACTGCTGCTACAGTTTGTGTATAAACAGTATAAAACGCAACAACGAATAAACATGAAAATAGGTGCCGTGAAACAAATGAGATTTGTATTCGATTTAAGAATGTAAAACTTACCTTGTAATTTTGGTGCATAACCCTTTCTGGGTATATTGCAGGCATAGAATGCAGGCATCATGGGAAAGTAAGTGTTCGTGTCAGTAACACTGAAAACCGAATGTGACGTCATTTTGAGCTAGAAAGTGCAGTCCAAACAAATGGAGTACACCCACGTGTTGGTTCACTCGCTGGTTCCCGCGCCAATGTCTTTAACACGCATACTTGCGCGCGTGACGTATTCACTTGGGTACCCCATACCACTTTACTTTAATAGAGTGGGAGACTTTGAGGTCTCTGATGAAGCACTGACTATTTTGATATCGTTTCATGGGGTCATTGTTGCTTACGAATTATTGTCATGACAGATATTAATACTAATAATTGTAATCATTAAATATATCTTAATTGATAGGGAAAGTCTTGTAGAATATTGAAATGCACTTTCCATTAAAACACCAAAATGATAAATCAGTAGAATAACAATCCAGTCTTAGATGGCAGACAGAGGTTTGATTGTTTCATTGTTTTTCAGTGGCTCCCCTTCAGGAAATATCGCCTGGAGCATGGTGCTAATAATTTTGTATGAATATTCAAAAGGCTAAACATTTTTGTAAAGTGAAAAACATAGCAAGTTACATGCCGATTCTGTGCCAGTGTTAGTGTGTGTCTGTATGTAAACTGCTATTTTTTTACTTTTACGAAAATGCTTAGCCTTTTGAATATTCAAACATTTTTTTTATTCCATCTGACGAAGGGCTGTATGCGTTGGTAATGGTTTCACGCGTTTTGTGTCAGAGCGTGTGTTGCACACATGAATGACATTTAGCGGGTACCGTATTTCCGATTTACAAGCAAGTAGTGTCAGAAAGAGTAGAGGAACTTTTAAAGACTTTTTTAAAAACCAATAACGACGATCTCGGAGAAAAGTACAACCTGGCCAGCTCTGTTAGAGTTAGTAATCTGTAATTTACACATGGCCTAATAAACATATCCATCCGAAACATAATTGTATTGATCTATTGTTTCCGAACTATGCCATATCTACAGAGAACAATACCGTACTGTTGGTATCGACAATCTTAGCAGCTTGCCTGGTGATTATTTCCGTCTGCGTCATGTTTGTAGTCTACAGGTCAGTTTTAAGTTAATGTTGCCACTTTTGTATACGGCACAGGCCTTTATAGTATTTACAACAAAATTCCATTCGAAAATACTGAAGGACATTAGTCATAATAGGAAGAAAGCTCATGCACAAATTATATTTTTAGTATGTGTCAGGCTTGCAAATTTTATTACGAGAAGTACGAAGTCATAGCAGTCACAGTAGACGTGTTAGAAACTTGGCGCAGTTTCGAAATTTAAGAATTCATATCAACTGAAATATCTGTTCTCTGTTGATTTTTAATTGTGACAGGAGGATGAAACTGAACTCCGAGATTATGAACATGTCATGGAAAATCCGCTACGATGAGTTGATCTTTACCAATACGTTCAGGTCCACTTCATCTTCGATTCGGTCACTGTCGATGGTAAGTCTATGATGAACCTACGGACAGCCGAGCAGTGATATGACATGCATATGCAGTGGAACGCTGGTTTGTGAGAGTTTGTGTGATCATCGAAAAGGGCAGACTGAGGCACAAGTTACTCAAGAAAAGCCACTATGCAGTGAAATTCGTTAGATAAGATTTTACATTAAACTTCAAAAAGGTTGTATTCAATGTAGAACAGTGTAATTACCTCCTTGGCTCGGAAATAATTTCTTCCTCGTAGGAAAATTTCCGATATTTATCCCAAATTCCTGTTAAGGGGAAACAAACGGCTGCATGCCAAAACCAACGGACTAAACTTTAGCTTTTGCATGAAGAGAAACAAACAAAAGCAAAATTGTTTCCTGCGTGAAAGTAATGTGATTAAATGGGTAACAGCAAACTGTCATCCTTAAGGCTGCAAAATTGTATTCAAACGTGCATGCCTTATTGGTAGTCCCAACAACCGTAAGTGACTTAGCTATGCGACTGCACGTACCATGCACCTTGGCACTAATGCGAATACAATCGAACACGAGCAACGATAGAATGTCCGCACATTACGCGATATGGTGTTTTTATTCATTAGGGAAGCAACTCACGAGGAAAAAAATCCGGCCAAGGCCGTAATTGAGACCACGAATGCTCAATCATGTCTTGATAATGTGATTGATTTCAGGGAAGCTTGGATGCAGACGGTACCAATCGGAAGCAGATCTTCACCAAAGTCGCTCAGTATGAGGTAAGATAGATAGGTTGGCCACATAATTATTCTGATGATTTTTAGTGCAGGTTTGCGAACAGGCATTGGGCACGATGTACGTGCGTAAAAACCTTTCAAATTTTCCAGTTTCCCTTTTCTTTTCCAAAAATATTCCGGGCTGCTGTTCCTCAAAAGGACGGATCCAGAACCATATTTGGAGGGGGTCAACAAAATGGGGGGGGGCAACAATTTGGATTTGTTTTCACCCACTATTTTATGAGTTTATGGAGGGGTGAGGCTACATTTTTGTGCTTTTTTACACGCTTTTGGAAGGAGGGGGAATGAAATCGGCCAAACAACCTTTCTCCCATTTCCCCCCTTCCCTTCAGGGGCCACCACCATCTGTCTTACCTCTTCATGGTTCAAAATCAAGATGCTTGACTCCGCACCGTAAAATTAGGGTTCATTTACATACCCGAGCGGTACTTCAATGCGGTGACGGAAAGCGCGCGGTTTTCAACGCGATGTTGTAAATGACACAAGAACGGTGGAAACCCGCTTGGTATGTAAATCCACCAGCTTCATGTCATTTTAAACGGGGGGGTGCTATGGGATTTTCTAACACACCGTCGACAACTTTCGTGAGCGTAATGGTGGTCTGATTCGGACACGTGACTTCCGTCACCTTGATTCCTTTCCCGTCTCTTCTCCATTCTTGCTGACTGCAGTACGGTGATTTTACCGACAAGACTGACTAATGGAGGGTGTGACACCCCTAACCAGAGCTGTCTATTGAGAGAGCAGCGCCAATGTCAGACTTTGGAACCAAAATGGCTGTTCATTATGCGATGGGCAGCACAGCGTACAGCTACTGCGTGCTAAGGCCGTGTCCGAAACGGGCTTCCAGAGCTACGGCTAGGTCTATTGTCTGCGCGTCTCCACACATTTCCAATGGAGCGAAGACCTAGACCTAGCTCTAGACAAGAGATTCGGATGCAGCCTAACTGTCCATGTGCACTGACGCATCGCACCATTTTGGTGACATCTAGATAGTGACACCCTCATGTCACAACTCCCTCTATAAAGAGCTCTGCCCCTTACCCCCTCAAGTGACGTTGTGTGCTAATCATCGTGCGAATGCTTCCCAAAATAACAAAGGCTCAATCATACGCTAGTCGCTCGGCTCAACCTAACAAAACTGGGCACAGAAGTTCGATCCGCGACAGTTTGCTAACCACTGGTCGATTCGCTTGGTGTTCGGTAAATGTTTCATGCATAGCTTAACAATCAAAATCAAACATTGGTTGACAATTTGTAGCCAATTGAACTTGCGCAATGCTAGTCATTCCGTGACATCACCCCTAAGGAGACCTCTGATTGGCCAGAAAGCGCTGTCTAAGCGAGATGTTTTTGAAAAAAAATCCCCTTACTTGGATGGATGGATATGGCCCCACTGCAGAGTCTGTGTTTACTCTCGGAGTATAAGGAAACCAATGTGTTGGATCTTATTACAGCGCGAAATTCCGTTACCACTCGACTGAGTAGATGGACCCTTAGGGTTCGTTGGAAAAAGCACCTCTTGTAATTACCGCCTATGCCATAGAACTCAAGGTTGTTGCTTGTCGTGTATTTTCTTCATTATTACATACCAGGCCTTCATCTTAAACGTCCATTAGAATACGATGAAGCGCTTGCCTTGATTTGATGGAACCACCCGCCTTCATTAAGTCATTATGAACGCCATCTCTAATTTGCCCGGCCTATCGGTCAAAAATAAACGTGCACGAAGTGAATCCAGGCGATGTGCGCAATCATGGGAAGCACAAACACAAACCGACTTTCTCCCTTAAGAGATAATGCTAATAAGTGTTTTTAGACCTCGGTAAAATCCATTTGTCAGCAGCAAAGACGGCTAATATCAATCGAAAATTAGCGGTACGTCCATGATTTTCCAATGGGGCTGGCTGTAACACCTAAATTGAGTATTTTTGAGTTGCACCCAGCTGACCCTGAAGAGCTAGTCAAATTTGACTGAATTCTACTGAAATTTGACTGATCCTTTTCAGAGTGTAAAACCTTGATTTTTGTGCCGCAAAGTGTGGCCTCTGCCCTCGCGGACAAAAGCAGCAAAGCCTTTATGAAGAAAAGTCGAAGTACGGAGGGGAAAATTAAAATGCATCAATGCTCGAAGCTTTGACGCTTTGGGAATTAAATTTTGCGGGGAAAAATCTTGTTTAATGCCACGTCTTTCGCACGCAGGAAGGCAAGGCTGTGTTGGTAGAAGATCGTCATTTAGGTTCAGGTCAGGTCTGTCATTATCTCTCCGTCGTGCGATTTCTATCTGCTTTTTTAAATCACCGTTCAGGGTCGAATGGTAGCACTGAAGCCCTTGTACGCCGAGAAACTGGAGCTGACGATGACTCTGTTGAAGGAATTTAGAAAGGTGGGTACACGGCGAACAATTTTTTATCTATCTTTTTTTTTTGATCGAAGGAGATAAAAACGATATAAAGGCCGAGGGCAAGGATGATAAACTGATAAGAAGACGCCTATTTTCACTTACAGTCTACTGATTAAGGGTTTGATTCCTTGATCAGTTCTCAACAACTATTTCTGCAAATGGACCACTTGGATATAAGTTATTTTATGGCTTGTAAACGTATGGGTCCGAACCAACGCAAGGGAATGATAGGTGTTGTGATGGAGGTCAATGACTCGTGCCGTCAGCCAATTCTCAAGGACACGGTTGCGGCTCCCTGCTGCGTCCAGTCGGTTCAGACAAGACTGTCTATTTGACTTGATGTCTGATGAGGATTTCTTTCCGCCTCGGTCTCAACTGAGAACGCCCCAGGTGGTTTAATTGGTTTCCTCAGCTTGACTGGAAACCACACATTAATTAGTTGGTTTCATGTATTCTGTGACTTTAAGTTTCAACTCGTGTTACATGATTAACATTAATAATGATTTTATTCCGATTAAATTAATACTCCGACTAATTGGAGTTGGGTTGGCGTATAGTGGTTCTTTCCTCGCCGTCCACCTTCGCCGTCCGGGTTCGATTCCCGGCTCGGTCCACATGTGCATTGGGTTTTCAGCCCCCACCTGATTCCGTGGGTTTTGCCCGAAATATTCTTTGGGGGTTTTCCTCCCACCACTAAAAATGTAACTGCTCGTCATTGTCTCCTCTCTACAGATTTCTTCAGGTTTGCGAGCACAGTGCCTCGGGCACTTTTGAGGAATCGTTTGTGTCATTACCAGAAGTAAATAATAATAATACTCTACACTGCCGGTGTGTCAAGCCACGAACGTAAATTAGCAAAATTTATTGTGAAACGATCCAACTTATAGCATGTGATTTAATTCATTTTATGTTAACTGTGTTTTGATGCATACAGCTTCGACGGATGGAACATAGCAATGTTGTCCGTTTCGTTGGTGCCTGCATCGACGGTCCTGATAATTCAAAGAATACATTCATCACAGAGTACTGCAGTAAAGGAAGCCTTCAGGTAAAAAAGAGCTATTTTTATCAAACAATGACTGACGTAAACATTCTTTTAAATGGCGTAATCTGAAATTGAGTATGTCTATCCGAATGACTTCTTTCTCAGGATATTCTGGAGAACGATGCCCTGAAGCTGGACGCAGACTTCAAGCGTTCTCTTCTGCTGGATGTTGTACAGGTATTTTTCTAACAACAAACAATACCCTAGGTTTCGATGGCGATCGAATATGTTGTTACGAAGTTTGATTGACCCTTTGTTCAATTTCATGAGCTGACGTTTGTTTTTGCTGCTGTACCTGACTTCCACTTCCTTTTTGGTGCCTTCGAATGCATTTACCGGTCACGTTTTGATGTTCCTTGAAAAGTATTCGATTTACATATCGGCGTAAGACGAACATAGAGCAGTCCATTTTGCGTCATTTGCGAGTGAACGCTGACACAAAAGTAGTTTCAGAGAATGTCAAATAATTCTGGTATATTTAGTCTGAAATAGCTGCACTACTGAGGTTTCCTCCCCAAATGACATCACGCATGTACTTATGATGAACATGTAGATTTGCGTTTCACAAAAATAAAAAGGGTACAAAAATTGAAAGAATTGTAAATATAAATTAAAGCTAAATGGATCACATTTGTGAATTTACAAGGACTGCGTTATAAAATTGACATTGCCCCAACCCATCAACGGCCTGTTAACTTACCGTGAAATTCAATAATTGGAAGACTAAATGGAATAATGAAAGTTTAAATGATGGTGGGAAAACCTGTACCAATGCACGAAAGTTGGACCAAAGCCTGGATACCTGTCCTGAGTATAGGAAAAGGATCCCTGTACTAAGAAGTAACTACAATATGTAGAATTTAAATTCACTTGACTCCAAGCTCAAAATAAGACCGTGCCTTCAGACGTAACGCTTAAACCCTGGCCAGAGCTAACTAACCTTAGACTTCGTTTAGACTTCGTTTAGACTGAGTCCCAAAGGAAGTGATTTAGAAACATGAAGCTAGCGGCACTCGAGTCGGGGTCAAGGCAAACCCTGTTTTTTTCCAGATTGAGGCCTGTTATAATCTTGGGTTTGCTTCTGATAGAGCGCGTTCGATTAATAGACGATGGGCCGTCACATCCTGCCAATCACATCCACATTGCCACGTTGCGAGGTTAGGATTACGATCTGCGGAGCTGCGGCTTTAGGAACTGTTGTCGGCTCTCTGGAATGTGTTATCTTATTAACCTATGTACTTTTTTAACGGGTCGGTTCCTCCCTGTTTTGGATATCCAAGAATAAACTTGAAAACAGCTCTTGCAGAAGAGGCAGCACCATTGCCAACATGTTTTTCTCTCCTAATTGTATTAAGGGTCTCAACTACATTCACCACAGTGAAATGGGCGTGCACGGCCGACTGCGCTCATCTAACTGCGTCGTGGACAGCCGCTTCGTCATCAAACTGGCCGATTTTGGCCTACTCACCTACAGAGACAAGCCCTCGGAACAAGCTGATATGACAAGTAGCCCATAACTTTAATTCTGTGTTAATAGAATAGCTGTATCAGTGTGAAAAGGGGTTTTGCCTCTTAAGTGTCATACATGTGTCAGTTTGGTTGAAAAACGTGTAGTAATATCCCACAAATGCACGCTGGCTCATTCAGTTTATTAAGTTTTGTCATGTTGCTGCCACCAAGCGTCGGAAAAGCCCTTTTGCCCACCCCACTGCGTTTGTCCGTGCACGCATCCACCAGGCAGTCGGGGTCTATAAGTCTGTTTTATACAAGTTTAGAATATGTCAGAACGCCTGTCGAGGGTGTCAGTCACGGACTCCAAAACAAATTTGTGAAGGTTGGCAAGCTTTAATGGGGGAGGGAGGCAAAAGATGAGGAATTTTTCATTAAACCTTTTATGGCCTTACTGATGGATGAAGCTACATTTGGGGCTTTTTACATGCCTTTGAAGGCGTAAATATTTTCAAATAAACCAAACAACGAAAAAACATTTGGGCGGGGGGGGGGCGTTTCCCCCCTCGCTCCCTCCCCCATCCGCCCTTCTCTCCACCTTACAACAGTCAGTGATGTGATGCGACTTAACATCACGCAAGTGCGATGTAGCACCGGGCCCATGGAACATCATGGGCCTGGGGTTAAATGGCATGTTCATTTCTTTCTCGCGAATTACAGAAATGTTGTGGAAGGCTCCTGAACTCCTCCGGCAGCCAAGCAAGGCAGTAACCAAAGAGGGCGACGTTTATGCCGTTGGAATCATTATTCAGGAGGTGGTGACTAGAGGGCTGCCCTTCGACCAAGAGCGCCACGCCAACATGGACATCAAAGGTGAACCAAATGGCTGCCACTTAAACCGACCGTATCCCCCTTTCTAATGCACTCCACACCAGAATGCTTCTCATCAAAATAACGAAATTGGAATTCACTTCAGAATTCCCAAAAATGAATTGGAGGTCTTTCTGGGGCCAACTGGACAAAAGATGTGAAAAGAGTTATGTTATTATACACGAATATGATGGCCAAGGTTACGTTATCGTTGGACACTCCCAGTCGCAAAAAGTATTTTGACAGCTTACCCAGTTTTCCATGGCAGTTCATTCCGAACAAAACCCCAGTGCCATACTGGAACGTCCAGACACCACGTCGGTGAGTTCGTGAATACTTTCCAAGTGGGAACTTTAGGCATGGAGACTGACTATGATTTTGTTTTATCCTGCAGCCATTCTGGAAAAGCTCATCACCATTCCCCAATCGTCGAAGCCCTTTCGACCGAAAGTACCGGCCGGTGACTGTAGTTCGGAGATGCACGCGATCATGGCGAAGTGTTGGGAGGAAGCACCGTCCGATCGACCCAGCTCTGACGCGGTCCTGTCAGACATGAAGAGAATGTGCAAGTATGTCTTAACTGAGCAAGTCGCTCACGCGTGGCGCAGTCTGTATCCTATGCGGAATTTCGTGCCATTGGTATTGGCACAACTCGTGTGAAAACCGCCGCAAATGCTTTGATTACCGTGCAAGTTTCTTGTGAACGTATGAGCCAGTCACGTGGCTGTACATGCGCAGAAGGCGTCACTACACAGACCACGAAAGAAACTGCTTAGACAGATTTCGGCACTCTAGTTAATTTGTTCGTGCTCGGACGCGTTTCCGCATGACATAACACGTACGAGAGTTCGTATAAGGATGCAAAAGTTCAGTTTTGGCGTGACTTTCACGTCCGCACGTGATATTTCACACAGCAACGTCGCAACATTGGTGGCGCTAATTTCTTAAAGAACAACATCAATTCACCCCGTGCAACTGTAACTCAGAGGCATTGCTATCCAAACAAACGATACATCGCGCGTCATTCAAGTGAGAATTAGGAATACAACTCAGTACTAATGTGGTGTGCAGAAACGAAACTTCATACGTATCGGTTCCGTACCAAGTTGCTTCCATACGTCGTAGTCCGTGGAGCTTTTTTCCCATTACGTATAACAAGACAGCCTCAAGTGATAACGTCGTCAGCAAAAAGATATATACGGATACGTGCGCGCATTTTCTGTTTGCCGAAACAGGCGCAAGCCCGACGTGCTCTCCATTCAATATCAATTTCCAGTCCTATGCTTGACCTGCATCGACAGGACAGATCTCGTAATGACAAACTGCATCAGAAGGACCCAGGAAATGACCTGAACAAACATCATGGAACACCTGTTTAAAAGTTTTAAGAGCACTTCCTCATTTACCGCGGTGTCTATGTAGGCAGCTAACACCACTCAGCCTAGAATCAAGTTCGCCGTGTACGAGTATCAAAGCGGGAATATTTCGTGGGCCCTGTTAGTCAATTCGAAAACATTAATTTTGCTACACAAGCGCAAGTTATTCCAACAAAATAATTGAACCACCCGCGGTGTACTTGTTTTCACAGAGGTGGCTCGGGCGGAATCTTGGACAATCTGCTGAACCGCATGGAGGCTTACGCAAACAACCTGGAGGGCCTCGTGGAAGAGAGAACCTCAGCCTTCCTAGAGGAGAAGAAGCGGGCGGAGACACTCTTGTATGAAGTTTTACCCAAGTAAGTCCAGGATCGATCAATCCACTGCCGTGCTTGTATGAAAACCAACCATGGGAACCTGTACTTGAAGCACCCCTTTCGTTGATAGGCTCGTGACACTTATCGAATGAGGTATAATCCCCAAGCACGTCCATGATCAATGCCTTTCCATACTTGGATGGAGTCTAACCTCTGCCATGACCATGCCCTAATACAGGTTCCATGAATTGTTTCTACTATTCCTTTATATTTCCAAAAGGAGTGGACTGGGAAAAACACACAGATGTAATGCTCGATCTGTACACTTTAGGTTGACCGAGTTGCAGCAGGATAACGCAAGATTTATGGAATTTGTGCGTTTTAATCTCCTTACCCCCCCCCCCAGAAATTTTCTTTTGGACCTTCAAGTGTGTGCTACCAAATGTTGAATGTGCTGTTACATTTAACTGAGGTAAAATATGACCAGCTTTAGGAGAGAGTTTGCCAAAGAGGTCACAAGATAACTTGACCGACCCTTGAGCAAATTAGCAACATGTTGAGCAACAGAATGTACTAATTTGGGTGAGTCGGCGGGTGGAACTCCTTTGGTTAATCAACACCGCGATTGCTTCTTATCGAACAGAGCTTCTTGTGTTTGCCATTTGCAGATCCGTTGCTGATCAGCTGAAGACCGGGTCACCCGTCCATCCTGAGGCGTATGACAGTGTCACTATCTTTTTCAGTGACATCGTGGGGTTCACCGAGCTGTCCTCGCGTAGCACCCCAATGCAGGTATACAAATGCGACGGTGACAGATGCAGTGAATGTCAATGTAACTGATAATACCATTCTAAGTACGAAAAATTTACTCCAAGAAACGAAACAGCACTGATGAAATTATGTATCGCAAACGTGTACTTCCTTCTGATACAACCTGAGCCCATTAGCGGATCGGTTTTTTGGGGGGAGGGGGGTAACTGTGCATGATGTAGGCTTAGACCATTTGCCAAAATATTTACAAATTGTGTTTTTGTCACCGGGCACCGACTCCAGTGTGCAAAAGGAACACACCTGTGTACTAATTACTCAAAATAGGCCCACCTATCAAAATTTATCATAAAACAAATAAGAGCCTAATTTTCGGTGTACCTTGATGGGTGACGTGACACTGACGAGTCGATGCCGGCTAACTTGCAAACCGCCCCTTTAAAACGTTGTAGGGCCCATACCGCAGTGCGTCTTTACAAATTGACATTCTGATTTTTGTGTTCCCATTGGACAAACACCTTTTTGGAAGCTGAGGATAGCTGTCCATAACCGCTCCTTTAATGAGATTGCCAACGCTTGCTAATTTAGGAGTTCATTTCTTCCCCCAAAAGACCCTGTCTTGGGCTCGTTTAACTCTGTCAGACGTCTTTACACATTTTTTTCTTTTGCATCCAAGGTGGTAGCACTGTTGAACGACCTGTACACCTGCTTCGATGAGACCATTGGTAACTTTGACGTCTATAAAGTGAGGAAAAGTTTGGAGATGGCTTGGGGAAATGTGAAAGACCTTTTTAGCGTTTATTTTGTTCGCCCGTTCATTACTCCTGAGTCCAGCACTATACCCCTGGTTTGATGGCGACATTTTTAGGACAGGGAAGAATCCAAATGTATAAGCAAATTTAGAGGGAAAACCGAATGCTTTGTGGGTTTGTCAAAGTTAATATCCTTTAGGCCCTTATTGCACAGCCTAAAAATGAACATTTTGGTGGTTATAGGTTTTTGTCCCAGGTAGCATCTGATTCAACTACCAACTGCTGTTATAAGCAAGCCTTTTACAGCAAACTGCCAATTGTTGGAACGTGGAAGTAATATATAATCGTACTAGGTAATATGGGTGTCATGCTAATAAAGTTATAGGCTAAGGTCGATAACAATTTGGAGTGAGTGGCATTCATTCCCTTGAATGGAACACATTTTCAGGCTACAATTTTGATCAGTAAACTGAATAACATTATTGATGGTAAGAAGTAAAACAAAATATACAATTCAGGTTCCTTTTATAATATATTACCGGCACACTTCGCAAAGTGGCATATTTTTTCAGAAGCCTCTGATACTAACAGCGACGGGTAGTCAGATCAGGTAGAATGAGAAGATCTTCACCCTGTTTTATCTTTGTCACTATCCAGGTAGAGACAATTGGTGATGCGTACATGGTGGTGTCCGGCCTGCCGATCCGCAACGGCAACGCGCATGCGACTCACGTGGCCAAGATGGCGCTTGCCTTGCTGGCAAGCGTAGGGACATTCAAGGTCTCCCATCGGCCAGATTGGAAGCTGTTGCTGCGGGCTGGCATACACTCAGGTAAGAGGGCCTCCTTGGGAATTCCTCACTGATGCAGATACGTTGGTCAGAAAGGAACATAATTGGACATGTTTTAATATAAACTGTTTACAAATCGTGCAATTTTGACTTTCTTTTCAAAAGGAGCTTGTGTAGCTGGCGTGGTTGGTCTCAAGATGCCACGTTACTGCCTGTTTGGTGATACAGTTAACACAGCGTCAAGGATGGAATCAAACGGAGAACGTGAGCAATGAAATTTTGGTGTTGAAAGACGTCTAAGGTATTAAGGCCAGTTTATACTTGGCGCAAGAACGAATACAAACGGGAATTTGTGACGTTCAGTTCAAATCTTCGCGCTGCGTATTCGCAAAAGTCGAACACACTTCAGCTTGAGCGAAAATTTGCCGTCAGTCTTTCTTGACGTCAAATTCGTTTCGCTTTCACATTCGCTTATAGTATGAACTGGCCTTTACAGGTGTGGTAAGGGTGATATTTTTCTTCATGATTACTTAGAATTACAGTTTTTCATAAAATTGCTGTGGCTTTTTTATGATCTCATACATTAATTTTGATACATATTTGTGACATTATTTTCCTTCACTTATGGTCATATTGCTAGCTCTAAAAATTCACATTAGCAGTTCAACCTCGGCCATACTTCGGGAGTCTGACGTTTTCAACATCGAAGAAAGAGGGGAAATTGAAATGAAGGTATGATTTCTTACATGCTGATCTTTCTCTTACAGAAAGCAGCTCTTTTCATCCGTTTTCAAAAATTACAGTATTCGTTATTCAAAGATTTTACTAAATTTGCAGACGCATTAGAAACAAAGGCAGACATGCGGCTATTAGTGTGTACTGTTATCACTGTAGTTGTAATTTCTCAGTTAAACAAATTGAAGACTTTTTTCTCGTCATAGTTAAAGAAGGAATCAATATAACGACTCTGACCTAACCCCAAAATTTGAAATTCCTTTTGACAGGGGAAAGGAAAGCAACTCACTTACTGGTTGCTAGGACAAAAGTAGCAATGCCTTCAAGTCCATGTCTTGCACCAAGAAGACCCTTAAGATAAATGTTATATTGCTTCACAATTCAGCCTATAGTTATTATAATAATCTATTGTGTTGAAAATTACTTAAATTGTTTCTTTTTGTGCAATTCTGAAAGGATGTTTTAAATAATGTAGCCCATCCTTTTGAAAATGGCGATATTTAAATACGCTTACTGTTGGTCCGTCCTAGACGTATTTTTAAAAGAGTAACCACGCTGAGAAGGTTCAAAGTGCAGTGGCAGGGGTTTTAAAAGTGAAATTTTGGCTCCTGTAGAAATGAACTCGAAACGACGAAAATTTGTTAAAAGTTCAAAACTGGTACAGTGAAAATTGGCCTATTGTGTTGAATAATGCATGAGTCATGGTAGTAAGCCCATTACTAGACTAAACGGGAAGAAAAGTCCAATGTTGCAGTAGGCAAACAAAACTGGTTTAGCACCTCTGGTAAATGTATGCAGTGTGTTGTAGTTTACTAATACCATTTACTTTTCATCATGTTAATGAAAACGTATCATTGTTTCCAACAAAATATTTTACGTCTTTCACCAAAAAATACCGTTACACTTGAATTTGTCTTTCCGTGTCTTTTAACTTACTAAAATCGTGGCATTGTATTCACTGTCAATAAAATTAATCAGATTAGACGCCATATCTGTGGTGGCGTCGCACTAACACACACATTATTCAGCTTGAGGCGCGCGTGCATTTAGCAAATCGCGCACCCTATTGGTCGAGGAGGGGTGGAACGCGCGCGAACCACCTGTCCACGCGTGTGGTGCCACCGCAGTAATGGCTTCCAATTCTGATTGCTGAATTACACTCAGGTAAGAGAAAAAAGTACACAGTGTACTAAGGTACACTATGTTAAGGTAAGAGTGCGATTGTGGGTGTTAGCAAAAACTCATGGAACTATGAAGAATAGGCATTTCAGTTATGTTTTTGCCACAAAAAGTGCACATTTAGGTCTACTCTATGTCACACAGCATGTTTTTGAAATCGACGTAGTCTACAATTGTATTTCTGTACAGCCTTCGGTACAATTTGTTATGTGTGATTGGAAATACTAACAGATTCGTCCACAAACGCGTGGGAATACGGGCGTTTCATAATAGTGCGCCTGCAGCGCCTCCAAGAGTTTGCAACGCGCTGACCAATCACCAAGCGCGAAATCTGTCGACCCAATGCGCGTTTGGAAAGGGTCGACAGATTTCGCGCGCGTTGTGATTTGCCAACGCGTTGCAAACTCTTGGAGGCGCACTATCCGCCCCGAGTTGAAGTGCACCCTCAAGTGGCAAAAGAAGGACAGATATTAAAGTTTTCCACGCGGGTTCTTCCACGCGGTCTGCGTGTACGCAAAAATCATACATTAAGGAATAAATAAACGCGCCATTGATCTCCATTATAAACGCAGGCTTAGCGGTGCGTACCAAAAAAAAAAAAAAACACGCCTTTGTTTGTTGCGCTCGGAGCGGATGTGAATCGTCCGTATCCCATGTACATACATGTTCAGGAAAGTTTGTCATAAATTTTGCCATACAGTAATCTGCAGAGAGTCAAGTATGGCTTCAGAACCATATTTCTGGAGGGGTGAGGCTGCATTGCATTTTGGGGGGTTGTTAAACAGACTTTTGGAAGATAGGAGAGAAAAAGGTACCCCATCGCCTTTTTGTTAAGATGCTTTTTTCAAGAACTGGGCTGGGGGGGGCTACTTTTGTGGAATGGCTTCTCCCCCCGATCCCTTTATTCGCTGTAACATTAACCTACATGTATTTGAGGGCAATACTGAAGGATCATGGAAGCTCATATATGTTGTGGCAAGGCTGACAGTTACGGTAAGGAGAAACGATGAATAGTGGAAATTCTTTCATTTGAATGGGTGGGTCCGCGAATTCCAGTCAAGGAATCTCAACCTTTTTTTGAAGCCCCTCCCTTTACTTGTATCTGTTGTACAGAGGAACAAAAGGTTTTTGGTTCATGCCGAGAGATGATTCGGACGATTCAAGCCATTATACGGAGCTGGCTAGCTACGTGTATTTTGATCTAGATCGGCATGTACACGAAAGAATTAGGCTACTCCTGGCCCGAGCCATTGATAATTGTGCAACTCTTCCACTGGGTGGACAAGTACGAGATAGTTTTTCTTTCACATGCGCATTACACAGAGTGCATGCTATCGAAGTCACACACAGACACATGCAGCCGGCACCATTAGTGGATCGTAGGGCGTACACACTGTCTTCATTATCCCTTAAGTCCCAATGGATTGTGTGAAAGTTACCTGTGGAAATATGCAGGATTCAAGTTATCAAATGTTATCGACATGACTTTACGGAGTTAGGGGCTTTTTACACCTAAACGAGCAAGTTTGGTGAACCACGATTCACCGTCTCTTCAAATGAAAACCACGTTTCACAACCTTGGAATTAGACGCTTACTCATCATCGAAATCCCTCGGTCACCGTAAGAAAATGATTTCGTTTGACAAGCACGTGCATTTGGAATATCACCAGGAAAGTGTTAATAGGTAAGTTTCTGCACTATTGATCTGTTCTGTAAAGTTATACATTGCAGAAATTGTCATTGTTATAGTTATTTTTTAGAAATTATTTGCTTTAGTAACGGATGGAGAGTTAAGCTGAGGTTAAACTGGAATTAATTAATTGCCTTAATGCAAGTTTTAAAAACACAGACTAACAATCACAATTACAGTTTACCATTGGTATTTAAATAAATAGGCTAAACACGGCAAAATGATCAAATAAAATGGATGGAGTTTGTATAAAAATGAACGAGACGCATTAAAAATATAAGTGAAGTGCAAGGAGTCTTGGACAATAAATGAAAATCTGCAATCGCTACCAAACAGGAAACAAAAAGATGTTAGCGCAGCAAATCGGAAAAGAGTGAAGATCAACCATAGAGCGTCTACGATGATGAACCTGACTGTTACGAGCGTTGCTCATTGTGCTTTACGTTGGAATGACTCAATGTTACAACTGCAATTTCTGTAGTCATGAAATCAATTTTGATCGCCATTTTCTTTAACCCTAACACTCCTGAGTCCTCCAACAGGTGAAGGATTGAGGAGTGTTAGGGTTTTAAAAAAAAGGACAGCTGTACACTTCTCAGAATAATCGACATTTTCTGAATATCACCATCTTGAGTGGTATAAGAATTTCAAGGGCAGGCACAAGTATTTTTGGGTGTCTATCGACCCGACAGCCGAGCCTTTCGGGCACCTTGTAGTGTGGCACATTTTGTTTTGAATCTTAGGACTGGTCCGTTTGAGCTTAGTCTGACAATGTTGGACTCTGATTTTCTGTGACGCTAGCTAAACGAAATGCCAAAAACTAAGTTCACCACGTGTTTTTATTCCGGAATTTTTTTTCTCCTAACTTGTGATAAGTTGCCGGGAAAAGTTCCTGCTCTCATCCAAAAAAAAAAAATAAAAACAAAAATAAAAGTTTAAAAAAGTATTAAAAAAAAGAAAAACCATTTTAAAAGTTGAATAGCTGGGTCATTATTGGCGTGAAATCAATCAAGAATGTCAAACTGTGACGTCAGATAAAACATTTGTTTTGTGAATTCCTTAAAGTTGAACTCATTAATTTCAAACGAATTTCGCAGCAAATGTTTTGAGACGTCAAATTTGCTTCATTTTGAGGGTTCTCCTGACTACTGACCTTTACTAACTAGACCTGTATATGTATATATTTTTGCACATTGAAAGGCACATAATTATGTATGCACAATGTTGTTCCACTTAACTAGATATTAAACCACTCGAACACACAGTTTTGTCAACAGTTCTGCCCTTTTTTCGTCTCGCGTGTGTGTGTAATAACGGTTGTGCTTTCATATACAAAAACGAATGTTTAGAAGTGGGTTTTAAACTGGTGACAGATACGAGGCATTTGATTTGTCACCGGACTAAATTATTCTCTTTCCACTGCACGAATGCGCGGCCTTCTTTCGTTGTATACAACGCCTGAATAAATCTTGAAAAAATCCATGCCTCACTTGCATGATACGTTTGAAAGTTTTAGAAAATGAATCGCGCTCGACTTAATCCCTGCATTACAAATATTTGAATTTCTTCTGATCGTGGAACAGAGCTCATAATTAACCAGAGTCGTGCCGTACGAAAAAAAATAGAAACCACGTTTATGAAACACTCAACCAACTGAGGTCGAATTTGAAAACAATTGGGGCAATTCTTTTCCAATTTATCTGAAAGTTCCACCAGGCCGTTGAGTTTCACGACAGAGTAGAAGGGGGGGGGGTGACTTTCGAACTCCAGACAAGGAAAAATAAAAACAAATCCGAAATCAGTCAAGACTAATGACATTCGACAAGCTGCACGGTTCCCATGTTTTCTTCTTCCCTTGGGTTGATTTATTTCTTGAATATTTGCTTTTTACCAATAAGCGACCCTTATAACACACTTTACGGTTCACGTCTGTCTCTTTTAAACCAAATTCATTTTCTTTTTGACTTTTTTTCTGTTGTTCATCGATCTAAAACTTTCAGGCAGAGATCAGCTGGGGGGTAGAAGGCAACATATGGCCTCTTTCATCTTGTCAGGGTTCAGAGATGAAATCAAATGTTCACAATTTTCATCAAGAAGAAACAAAGAAACACAAAGGAATTTGAATCAAGTTGATGGCTAAGATAACTGAATATCATCAAATCTCAAAAGAAAACTGTGTAAAATGGATAACCCGAGTAAGCTTGTGAATTTTTTCACTAGCTCTCGGACAAGCACTGAGTATACAGTGTTAATTAATACACGTCAGTGTAAGGGGACAACCCGTGATTAAAATTAACATTTCCCCGACGAAAAATCATCTTGTAATGGATTTTTTGTCTTCACTCTAAACACGATTTCGTACACACTGCATCACGCATAATGCATTCATACACTTCACAGTTTAGGGCCCGAATTAAAAAGAAAATACAAGATGTCAAAATGAAGAAAGAAAACGAATTTAAAGACGCCAATCGTGAACTACAAATCGTTTCAGCGTCGGTGTGTCTCGCTTCATTTACACGAACCTTCACAGCGTCAGTACTGTTTGCAAGAACAACTTCTTCAAATATTCTTCTTTACAGGTTTGAAAGCCATTGTATTACAGAAAAAAATTGGCTGGGATTTAGACAACTGGTCAATTCTCGAAAAGGGGAAATGGACGGAAAATTTGAAGGTGTTACAATTTCTATGCAAACTCAACAGTCCCAAGCAAGTGTAGGGGACTGCGTGTATGTAGAAGAGTATTGACTGCTAATTATAATTTTTTCAACAATTCACAAAATTGCCACTGAGACAAATTCATGGTTACTGTCAGAAGCAAATACCCTTGGATAATCACATAATGTCACAGTTGTTACTAACTTGTCCCTCTTCATATCATAATGCACACTGTACAACAACACCTCAAGCCCCGCTGAGACCATGGAGGAAGGACACGCGAGGAGTTTGAAAAGCCTGGGCTACAGCATCTGGCCAATTACCACTCTGTCATGCCCAGTATGCGCGTAGCCAGAGCGCAGTGAATACTTGCTACGCGCCTCGTGTTTCACAACCATAAGCCCCCTTTGTACCCCATGATAATCGCCGCGATTTTTTCACTGGTAAGCTGCATCCTCAGAACGTTATGTACTGCAGTATAGGAAGTTAAATGTTCATGCTATCGTTGGTGCCTGGCTTGATCTGACAACATACAATTTTATGCTTGCGTATTAGGCTGCGTGCCGTAAGTGTTCATGTGCAGTTATTGCCCTTATCGAACGCTTTCTCCTGGACTTATTTTAGGAATAAATAGCCAAGTTGTTTATAAGATCTTGTGCTTTATTTGAATCATTTTTATTTACTTTAATTTACAAAAATTTTATGAGATTTCATGATCACTCCTTGTGATGAAACAGTGCATTTTGTTTTTCGTAAACTTAACTGTCCTGTGGTTGTCAACATATACTGTCGTTGGCCAGTCTTACCCAAATTCGTAGAAAGCCTTTGAAAGCTGATGTTTTGGAGTGACAAAATAAAATTACAAACATTGCATGGATAATGGACAGTGCATCAAAATCTGTTTAAAAAATATTTACGACGGCAAAAGAAAATCTAATGCTAGACATTTTCTTTCTATTTCCCGGTCACTGCAAAGAAAACTCTACAAATACTGCGAGGATATTACTGGCCCAACTTGTCAGGCTACAGGCAATATTCAGGCATGTTTGGAATGTTTACGATGATCATCGAGCACTTTGATGTGTCAGAGTTGAAACTCCTTCTGTGTCCTTTCTCCATGCTGAGACCAACTTAATTGTCACCAGTTACATGCATTAACCATACTATTCTCTGGCCCATGCACCTTCCATGGCTGCATGTACATTCATCGGATATCCTTCTCACTGCAGTATATTTTCGCTGCAGCAAAGGGTTCACTGAGGTATATAACACAGTGGACAAGAATGTGACTCCTTATTGATGGTATTTCGTTCACTCCTCGGTTTGCGTTGATTATCTACACATTACTGCGGGTACTTTGTCGGACGCTTTTTAAATTATCTTGAGTCAGTACTCGGATACAGTGATATGCCAAAAAAAAATTTCAACACTTGTTTTCAACAACTGTCTTAGAACTTTGTTATGGGTAGAAAAACATTCCAAGACATGTCTTGCCACAAATGTGTAACAACTTTACAATATCAAAAATATACTCTTGCTACAAACAAAAATATCATTATACGGTTTCTCCCTCATTGTACATTTTAATATTTCAAAACGTATGCAGTACATGATCAGGTTCCATTAAAAATGTAATTTTCCTGTAATTAAATTCTGTATCAATAATCAAGTTAAGTCAAAGTTTTTTGAGTGATTGAGTGGCACATACATGTATTGTCAAGTTCATGCCATCTTTTCACTTTGGATGCATGAATGTTTTTTCGTGTTGAACTGAAACGGTTTTTATCAAATTTTAATAGTCATCATCATGTATTTTTTCTCAATGTACAAGAAAGTTGAAACTCCACTCAAGGAACGCTGACTGATAAATGCAGATATGTAAATGTTGGTAGTGGACCCGGAGGGGTCAGGCACAAAATATGAAAATTATATAAATTACTGTTCCCTGTGATGTGGTCCATGGTAATACGGGCGATTCACAAAAGTGCGCCACCAAAAGTTTGCAGCACGCTGGCCAATCATAACGCACGAAATTTGTCAACCATTTCCAAACCCGCATTGGGTCGACAAATTTCACGCATTGTGATTGGCCAGCGCGTTGCAAACTCTTGGTGGTGCACTATTGTGAAACAGCCGTATTGTATGTGCGCAGGGTGGAAAAAAAAAACCACACAAAACACACACATGCACATGTAGTAAGATTGGCAAATCATTACCAAGAGGGTACAAAAACCCATGGATCACACCACACTAACAATTTTGTTCCACTGGGACGTGGTTCCATGCCATTTTGTATACCTGCGGGTAACACATGGCACCAAGGTATGTACAGGTACTATGCTGAAGGCATTGAAAAAGTAAATCACACCTCTACGTACAACCCCTTCGCTAAACCTCTGCATAACAAACATCAGTACAATTTGTTCTAATACAACTATGACACTATTATAATTCCATTTTGATCTCACTATGTGTACACGTACATGCCCTGTGCATAATTGGAGAGGTAAGAAATAAATATATTACAACACTGTTTCAGTGGCTAATAAGCACAGTCTGAGACCAACAAACGCACGAAGACAGTTTCTGTCCCTCAATAAATAGCGAGTAATTCAGGGTCACCCTCACTGAAATTGGACACAAGCACTAGAGAGAGGGCTTTCCATGTCTGTGAGTACCATACAGCTCAGAACTTGGCATCAGGCGACAGGATAGGAAGAACTGTTGTGGAGCTGATCTCTGTGAATTTGCAGCATGTTTGTATCTCTTTACCCTCGGGGTAAAAGCACATTGAATCTCGTTGAAATTGGAGGTCTCAAGTTTAGGGTCGGCATCATCGGTAGTCTCCTCCTCCGGCTCACTTGTTTTCCTCACTCCGACGTGACAAATCCCTGTTCCTTAGCTTTGTCGATAAGCCGCTGGCTGTCCAGCAGGAAGGTGCTGTAGTGGACCGCCGGATGGTCTTCCACCATCCGCTCCACGGCCGCGTCGCTGACTTTGGTGCAGCGGATCAGGCCCAGGTACTTCAGGCGCGGGCAGCGGTCTGAGACGTAAGCGGCACCGCGGTCAGTGATGTGGCTGCACCAGCTGACATCCAGGTGCTCCAGCAGGCTGCTGTTGTCACCAATGCCGTGCAATGCTGCAGAGCGAGCAGAGAAAATTCCCAAAAGGGGTTTGAGCACACTCACTTGTTCGTATAGAGGCTTTGCACGGCAGCCATCTTGCAGGGCAGTTCTTATGTTCCACACTGAAACCTCCTTTGCACGTACCCAGTTGGACAAAAGCACTTACCTGCAAGATGGCAGCCAAGCAAACCCTCCATTGTCTAACAGGCCTATTTAGACAGAGAAGCTATAACCAAAAGCATTGATGTATAGTGATAGAAGGCAATAATTTATCGTACATGTGCACAAAAAGAAGAAATCCACTCAGTACGCGAAAAACTGACTTTCTGCAATAACAGCATCCCAGGAGGAGGAATTGAATGCATGACCAGGAGGCACCCAACCATGCCAGCCAATCTTTGATGTCATATTGAGACTGCTGAATGGCCAGAGCGTACTGTATCAGTGCGATATCTTTCAAAAATTGTTGTGCTTTCTAAACGCAGCAGTTTCTCACCCCATGGTGTAGTTTGTCAGACAGTCCTACAAACTCCCTCCGTTTGCACTAAAATCATCTGAAATCATATCACACAATGCAGCCTTGCAAAGTTTGAGCAATGCTAGTGCTGCGGACTTAAGGAAATTGATTCCCGACGAGCAGTGCCAATGACGGCATTGCTTTGCCTGGAATAGCTGACCCCAAACCCACCATGGTCCGTGATTGCACAGGAGATGAGGAACAGGGTGGTGAGCCTCTTGCAGAGCCGGGCCACCGACAGCACGCAGTCGTCCCGGACGTCCCTGGACAGGCTGAGGTTCAACGTGTCCAGCAGAGGGCAGTGCCGGGCCACGCCCTGCACGGAGTCAGCGGTGAGGGTGGGTAGGTTGCTCAGGTCCAGCTTCTTGAGGAGGTGCATCTGTCGTGTGGGAAAAAAAACCCAGGAATGCGAGTCACTCTTTACGATGTGATTAATCCTGATCAGTTTTCAGGTTCCTCCCAGAAACCCCCCCCCCAAAATCTCTGCACCATACAGTGAAGCAATGGCATTGTCTTCATACTTTCATTTGCAGGGCATCAAGTCCCATGCAAGAGTGTATCCAGAACTAAAGGGTTGGGGGGGGGGCAAAATTTGGAAATATCTTCATTTATCCTTGAATGGCCTTTCTGAGGAGTAATGTTGGGGCTTTTTTGCTCGTTTCTGGAATAAAAATGATATAGACTCCTCCCAAAAATCCCCTTCCTTTCATCATTTTTACCAAATAAAATTGGTTCAGCCTTTTCCTGGGGGGGTATGGCTTGTCGGCCCCCTTTGGATCTGCCCTTGGTCCCTTGTAATGTAATAGAGGTTTTTCTTCATTCCCTTGAATCTTCCAAACCTCACGGAGGACCTGGGATTGTGAGGGTTGAAGACCATTCACATTAAAACAGGAAGGCATAAGTAGTTACTAAGACGAACAAATAAGAAAAGTATAAACTAGCAAGTGAAATTATGTCTGATACGCATCATTAGCGGTAACTTCAAGGGAATGTTTACAAGGAGCCAAACATCCTCAATGCATGTCTGATAAATACATGTATCTACCTTGGCTACTTGTGCCAGGCCAGGGGGCCCGATACCGCAATTCTGGAGGCAAAGGATCTCGAGATTATGGGAATACGTGGCTAAGGCTTCAAGGGCTGTATCTGTAATCTGGAGAAAAAGAGATGAATACAGACATCTCAACTGCAAATCTGTGGTTGACAATAAAAGCTAAAGCCCTCAACATACATGTACACATATTGAAACTGCGATAACTTGTGACCATACTCTCAAAAATATGGTCCAACAAATTCCAAATTTGCCAAGAAATGTTGACTTCGCAAGTGCCCAAAGCGCAAGGCTGTTCAAATGCCAACACCAGTGTTGCATTCGAGACCACCAGTCGTCCAATGGACTGCAACAAAAGCATTCCTTTGTCACTGTTCACCCCATTGCTTGCGATAGGCCTTGTGAATGGTCTTGTACATGGTCTCGCGTCTGGTCTGGACTACAACACTGGCAAGCACAGATGTTGTTGGCCGACGTACATACATGTACAAAGCAGTGATGTTTCTTGCATTCCCCCATCCCATTGTACTGAGTAAGGCAAACATTCTTCAAACCTATCCATGTTTTTAAGCAACATCCAAGTAATGCAGAATATGCCGGTTTGCTTCTTTTCCTACTGAATGTCAGTACTACGAGTGAGCAACCAACACTGAACCTTTTCGCGAGTTAAATTTGAATAAAATCTGGTACACTGAGTTCTTGAAATTCATGTGAACACAACAATCTGACTTCTCCATACTAAAGACTCTGTTGCCATACCTCTTGATTTGGGGAAAGTTTTTGCTTAGTTTCATAAGAGACACCTTGCACCAATACACTGTTTTTCGATGGATAAGATGGGCACAAAGGAACCAGTCTATTCTAGAGATGGCGGTCGCAGTGCAAAGCTTGCCCCACTCACAAGGTATGGCAACAGTGTCTTTAGTCTGGGGAATTCAAATTGTTACGTTTATGTGCAATCAGATAACTCAGTGTACCGGATTTTATTCAAATTCAACTCGCAAAAGGCTATGTGGCATAGCCCAATTCATTATGAAATAAAGATGGGTTTGTATTTACCGGTAAATATATTCCATTTGTTCTGGATATATCTTTTTGTCGCACATGCATTTCTCTTCTTTGAATATTTTCATTCTAGATGAAACTTAGCGGCCAGCCACCGCTTAACAGCCACTGGTAGGCCAAAACTACGCCTGCGGCATCAAAAGAGAGCGGTCTGCATTTGCTAGGAGTAGTGCTCCCATCTTTTCTGTACCTTGTCATTGTCCATGAGTGTTAGTACTTTCAGCCGGGGACAGCTACGCGCCACAACCTGCAGAGATGCATCAGAGATGAGGGGACACTGCTTCAAGCGCACCTTCCGTAACCAAGGACACCCTTTGGCAATCTGGAGCAAAAAGACATCGGACCACCAAAATTCATTTCAGACAACGTCAAAGCACTCACGATTTGACAAAAGCAATTTTAAAAGCCAACTGGACAGCTCAGATGTACACCTTTATGCATGTACATGTAAATACCACCTACTAATACAATTGAAATAAATGTAAAATATTGTCAGTAAATGTGAAGAGGAATGATGCACTGAAATTTTGACTCAGTGGTTAAATGCAGTAAACAAACATGTATATAAAAAAATGAAAAGCCAGGCTTGATTTTGATGCCATGAAAACAATTTCATTAACACACTGCTGGCAACAATATTGCAAATTCACAAAAACAATACGGCGAATCACAATGCAGTGCACCACCAAGATATTGTCATAGATAGTGCACTACAGGATAAACAGGATAAAAAGCTGTGTGCGGAAAACTTGAATTTTTCCTGAATATTTGATAATATGTATCTTGGTTTAAAATTCAAATGGGTGTTAGGTACCGGTAGTCAAAATGATGGTTTTGCGTTGTGCAGGGATGCCTCAATCAATCAAATATCCCCAAATCATGTCAGAAGTGCGCCCACTCACAGCGGCGTGTCAACCGTAAATTTGAAAAGTGGCCTGTCTACGGCAAACTCCAGGTGGCGCACTGTATTGTGAATCACCCGTACTGGTGAACAAGAATTACTATACAAGCATGCATAGGTGGGCACTGTGTGTACATGCTGGTCATTGATTGCAAATGAGAAATTGCCTCGCCCTTTCAAGAGCAAAGTTCTCACCGGTTTTTTTGACCAATCTTCCTCACTCCTCCAAAATCTTCCAAGAAATTGCCCCAAGGATTTTGGAGGATTGGTTAGGATTAACCCTAACAGTCCTCAATCCTGCACCTGTTGGAGGATTGAGGACTGTTAGGGTTAATGTTCTGCCAAATTTTTCAGATCTTCCTGACGGACTTTGAAGGATTTTGAATGGTTAGGGTTTAAAGGCACCCTTTTTAAGTTCCATGGGTCTCATTTCCAACCGACCCCGTTTTTGGCTCCCAACCTCAAAAAGAAAAAAGCTTTTATTTTGTGCTACTGCTACGAGGACCTTGCCTATGAAGAAAAAGTAGGGTGTGATGACCTGCGTGAAAATGTACTAATGGGTAATTACAGATATTAGGGGTCCAAACGTGTGATATTTTTGTGTCCGTTACATCTGACCTTTAATATTTCACATAGAAATATCACCGGACTTGATTTCAAACTACATGTATTACTACTTGTTTGGCAGGTAATTTGAAATAATTCATCACTCTTGGAAATTAGAAAATGTGTTCTGAACTTACAAAATCATAAGTCAGATGTGACAGGGACACAGAAAAAAATGGACCCCTAATTACTGGAATTAACCTAATGCGACACGAAATTGCCCAAACATCCACTGATGCAGCGACAGTTGAAATCCACAGTATGGTCTCAATACCAGACTGACTGATACCGCACTGTACCCAGTGCACCACATATAAGAATGTACGGAGCAAAGGGAAAATAAAAACATACATGTACTATGTACATGTAAATACACACTACACGCACGAACATCGTACGGTGTCGTGACAATGACCCTAACGAGGTATTGTGTTGTATTGTGTACCAATAAAGGTATTTCTCTGTACTCAGCTAGAAACAAAGACCCTTGTGGTACTCAATATAAAAACAAGTGACAAGTACACATAGGAGCTTTGCCTGGTTTATTCGGTCATCTATAGAGGTTTTTCATGTGACTTCACGTGACAGGCAAAGGTATTTCAGGAAGCGCAACATGTCCGTGGAGGCCCATGCATTTTCCAATCTATGTATTTTTATTGGCAATTTCACGTATGTCAGAATGTTGAGAGACTTTGAAGGCGTGCACGTTTCCACGCACATCTGTGTAAATTGACCGCTGATTGTCAAAGCTCACATGACTGAAAATCCTCTATATGCAGCTGCTTGGATTTTATTTTTAGGAATTTTCTTTTTCTTTGGACTGACTAAAACTGCCTCAATTCAAAAACGATAAGATAACCACAGAAATATAATAAAGGTGCCCTAATGGGAAGCACGTGAACAAGAGACAAACACTGACTGATTGGAGTGCCTGGTCAGTGAGACCGCTGCAGCCAGATAGATCAATGCAGGTCAGGTTGGAACAGTGGTTGGCTAAGGAGAGAAAAGCCCTGTCGGTCAGTTGAGAGCACCTGAATACAGAAAGATGCAGAAATGTAAAAGATGGTAAAACAGCAATGCCAACATGCAAATTTCTGGGAAGATAAGAAATTTGGGGTAGGACTACAGTGGAAACAATTGACAGATTCCTTGGGACTTCACTAGTTAACCTATCGTTACCAGGAACATGAAGGAGAGCGTATAGAGGGTTTGCATGATGGCTGCAAGCCAATGCTTCTGTTCCACAGGAGATGCAAAACAGAGGTTTCCCTGCGGAATAAAAGAACTACCCTGCAAGAGGGCTACCATGCAAAGCCTCTATCAAGAAGTGTTCTTGTAATGAGTGGGATCGTAGCAATTGGCAATTCAGCAGTGTTATGGTCAAACCTACAATCACAATAGGGCTGAGTCAATTTGAATAATTCTGTATTCCAATATTGCACCTTCAATTCGATTGAATATCAAAACATTCTATCGCACTGACTGGCACTAGTGGCAGATTGTTGATGAACAAACCACATACATGTACAAAATCAATTCCAATAACACACAATTGTACATTATCATCACTGTAATAGCTTCTCACGTCTTAGAGTATCTCCAGCCACAATATAGCAAAATTTAGAGATGAAGGGTACTTCTTGTCGTGTTGAAAATTTCTACTCCTTTAAATTTTTTAATGAATAATTTACTTTTTCAATCGTTGTAAGATTTCTGTTGCTTTTCATTTGAATCTGCTTGGAATAAGCCTCCACAGTGCAATTTTTCTCATGTAAAACAAAAGAAAATTCTCCCTTCCTTTTCATGTATTTTGCATTGAAATATTCAAATTTCAGAAAATAACATTCAAATATTCGATAATCAATTGAATATCTGGATATTCGGCACAGCCCTAAATCACAAGCCCTTACAAGTCAAACAAGAGTTTGAATACCTGATTAGGAATACGTCACGCAGCATATTGCAATGTACAAATGCCTTCTCCAATCCATCGTCTGTGATCCGAAGGCAGTCGGACAGATCAAGAAAACCCACACCACAATGGCGGCTGCACAATTTGATCAGGTCCTGGTCAGTCACATTGGTGTGCTCACGGAACCTCATCTGGTGCCACAGGGTCCAGAAATGGGTCACGCACTCCCAGTGCTTGCAGACCAGAGCGGCCGTGCACAGGAGCTCGCGGACAGTCAGGAATGAGAAGACATGGGCAAGGAGTTGTGGGGGCAGCTGGTTCAAGTGAAGAGCCGGCACAGGGAAGTCATCAAGACTGTCAACTCGGGTGTCTTCTTGCCGTGCTTCGCAGTGTCCTAAGTCAGGAACCCATGTTCTCTCAGCTTGTCCACTTTCTGATGAAATGGCTTTCGCCGATTTGCAAGGCAGGAGGCCGTCTCCATGGGAGGGGCCCTCATTAAGTGTGCACTTGATTTCAGTCAGCATATCCATGCACGATCTTGAAAGCCCTGAACCAACTCCACCCGTTAAGGTTTCCTGTTGCAAATCAGAGGTGCGCCTGTCAGTAACCTGAGGTCCGACGGTTCCCTGGTTGCCGACCTGACTGATCACATTTGTGAACGCTTTCTGGTCTTCCTCGTAGCTGGTCGAGCGGGATCTGTCTCGATCACTCTTGTCCGAGGGAAAAAACCAACGCTTGAGTAAGCCCCGGCAGAAGCTCTTCCTCGGTCGGTCCTCATTGGGCAGGTTCTCTGACGAGCCGGAAAGCGTCCTCTTTTCGGAGAGTTTGAACTGGGTCCTGCGGGGCCATGCTTTGCATCGACCCTGCTTTGCCCAACTCAAAGTCCTGGCCGGCCTCTTGTCAGATTGAGGAGATTCCTGAATGATGAGTTCTTGGGCACTGGTCACCGGGGAATGCCTCCCCGTCTCCGATGAGTAACTTGTGCTAGGTTGATTGTGGTTGCCGTGATGACTAAGACTCTCCTCTTCCTTCGACTTTTCTGTCTCCTCTGGAGAACTGCATGCGAGGTCCTCTTCATCATTAATCAATCTGTCATCCATGCTGCCTGATGAAGTACATGTACATGTACTTTTGCAATTGGTATGCAGCTATGCAAAACAAAATCACAAGATTAGTTAGAATGTCTTGAATACTCAAATCATAAGAGTGTGATATATGCTTTTATGCACTTGTACATTATACATCTATATACATGTACATAGGGTTTACACTCATGTACATCATTTACAACTGTATTTAAGTACAGTGTACAAGTACATATGTACCAGTGCATATGTACACTTTCCCGACTCATCTGTCATGACACTGCAGTTTGATAATTCCTTAACTTGTTTATTATTTCCATTTTCTTAAAGGTACATGTACAGTCCAGAATTTGCAGTTATCCAAAAAGTGACTGGTCAAATGTTAAAAAGCATACTTGGTTTAAAGATGGTAAGTGGACTATACTCTCTGTGGAATTCTTCTTTCTGGCAAGCTGTTATTTTTGAAGAAGACAATGAAGGAGGGCCATTCCAAACGACGTGTCTAAAGACATGAAGCCAATGCCATTCCCAAAGCATCAGCCTATCAGCACAATCGACCAATACTGGAGATCCGCTGACAAAGCTCAACAGTGGAGTACATCATTAAACACAGGCCGTTTTCCAATGCTCAACTTCCGTCTCAGGCTTGGTCCTCGAAACCAATCCCCGACTGCGGGCCTGAAGCGTTTAAATTAAATTGGATTACTGTAATTTTTGGTTCTCTTGCATCTTATTTGATGTTTTGTGGCACTATTAGACTGATTATTGCGCTTCAAAGTCAGGTAGTAAAAAACAGCTGAAGCCTGAGACGGAGCCGAAGTTGAGTATTGGAAAATGGCCATGGTTCCCTCACCAGGCAAAACACCCTTAGAAATAGCGCAACGAAAGTGAGTTTGACCGAGACACTGCCAGATATACATGTACATATTGAAGTAATTGGCATAAAATTTTACAAATTCTACTGAAGCTAGCCTTTCAGCTGTTTCTTCGGTTTATTTTTCCTATTTACGGTAGCAACACAATTTTGGTGACAAAAACTACAGTATGTATGGGGAGGGTGTCCCATACACGTAACGTATGTTCTCCGTGTTCAAAAGAAGTTGCGAGTACACTTTTTAGTGTTGTGGGGCTCGTGCATAACTTGTGACATTTAGCGCGCCCTCGATACATAAGTTAGAAATCAGTCAGTGGAAAAGCAGAGGGAGCCCTGCGTGGTGACGCTCAGGAACAGACAGACAGACAAGGCATGCTTCAGTGGGAATTCAAGATTGTCATGATTAGGCCTAGCTAGCAAGGATAGACCATGAGCAGATGAGGGTGGTTTTCTTTTCAATCATCAATCATGCCACAAGGCACAGGCCTAAACTGTTACCTGCATGACCAGGATGACTTCCAGTTGCCCTAGGCCCTAGTACTTGTATACTTCTAGATCATAACCGAATTTCTGTCAATTCATATTCCTGAACGTATTGCATACATTTAAAACCCATGCTAGAGGTGGTACACCAGTTCAGTTGATTTGAGGGGTCGGACTGAAATCGTATAATACAGTAATCTGGTTCTTTAAACTTGTTAAATGTAACGTTTCAAATGACATGAATGAATACGCTACGTTAAGGAATCTGACTGAAATGGGTCCCCCGTGAAGTATTGGGCCTCGTAATCGTAGGCCTATTCTTGGTATTCGCATATGGAGGTAGGAAAAGGTTCGTAATGACAAGCGCATATCGACCAGTCACTGAAAAAATGTCAAATATAGCAAGCGTAAGTATGATTGTGCAGACTAAGCAATATTCTAAAATGTTGCTGCTGCAAAGCAAGGCTATATGTATAAGCTAATTCCAAATGAAAAAGCCCATGCAATCGCCTTAAATAAAATGCCTAATAACGTTACTCACAGTCGGCTAGTACCACCCTAACGTACATGTACATGTACAGTACATGTAGCGTTATGGCACCTATGGACGTGCAGCTGATCATCAGTGCACCTGGAGTTGTATCACAACTGTAGAAAGCACTTATTTATGCTGACATCACTGTTTACGGGCACAGTTATGAATTATGCATATATGCTATCTTACATTCATGGCCGTTTTCCAATACTCAACTTCGTCTCCGTCCCCGAAACCAATCCCCGATTGTGGGCCTGAAAAGTTTAAATCAAATTGGATTACTGTAAGTTTTTGCTCTCTTGCATCTTATTCAATCAATCAACGACACACACATTTATTTCCTCCCGTGGCAGAAATAATGATAATAAAACAAGTCGCAAGCTAGTGTTAGGCACGCCCTTAAACAAAACTACATACATATTAATATAAGAGACAACAAATAATTGTAGCTCTAAGCAATTATAGAGTAATTGTTGAAGATGGACTATGAAAAGAAAAGGTTAAGTTAATTTTCATGGCTACGAATATGATCAGAAGTAGTCACTGTGACAATGAAAATTATATTGCTTTACATGAGAAAGATCTTAAGTTGCCGCTTAAAGATGGTATATGATCTTGAAAATCTTAGTGAGGATGGTAGAGTATTCCAAAGTTTGGGACCAGAGTATTTAATGTTAAATTGATAGGCAGAAGTTCTGTGTTGCGGTATCTGAAAATGAAGCTTGGTTGACAAACGAGTGTTGTATTTATGCAAGCCAAGGTTAAATACAAACATGTTTCGATCTGTTACGGGCATCAAATTATTTTTAAACTTATACGTAAATAACGCTTGTTGATCTTTGTTTAAGTTTGAGCTCAAGTAACAGGGGTTGACTGTGGGCCCTATAAGGCGAATTTGTGACAATTCGAACGACTTTTTTTCTGCAGATTTATTAGTTTAGATAGATTTGTAGGGAATGTATCCCCCTAGACAATATTACAATAAGAAAAATAAGGAAGTATCAATGAAATGTAAATATTATTTAACACATGAAATGGAACAATATGTTTTAAGCTATTAATTACTCCAATGATCTTTGAAACTTTGCTTGCAATCTCATCAATATAAAATTTCCAAGTTAATTTGTCATCGATGATGACACCTAAAAATCTAAACTTCTCTACGTTCTTTACAATTGTGTTGTCCAATAAAATATTGAAGTTGTGTCCATTCTTCTTTTTCCTCTTACTGAAAATTACATAATTACATTTAGAAGAGATAAACGATTTGCTTTTAACCAATCACATATACTGACCAATCCGGTATTAAAAATATTATATAGAGATGTGTTTGATGTTTGATTTGATGTTTTGTGGCACTATTAGACTAATTAATGCGCTTACAGCTTCAAAGTCAGGTAGTAAAAAACAGAGCAGCCACCAGGGCTGGCACAAAGATCACGTGATGGCTAAACGAACGCTCTCGTGCAAGTCTGACTTATAGGTGTAAGCTAATCGGACGCACCCAGCCATTATGGAGGGGATCGATGGTTGCACTGCACCAAATACGCGCCCAAAGAAAACAGGGCAAAATCGGCCCGCACCGAAATAGCGCCACCTGTTAACTCTCGCGAAGAGGTTGGCCTCCCTTTTTTTAACTGGAAATTCAAGATTATGGCCAGAAGATCACTTTTCGTTTCAATTTCATAGGGGTTGTGTTAGCCACGAAAATCTTTTTTTATTCGCTTTTCGAGGAAGATACCCCCAAAACAGCAGTAAAACCAAGCGCTCGTTTCTTAATGTAGCCGCCCGCCTCTATCCAAAATAAGCCCGCAATTTGGGGCTTTTTGTGAAAGAAATACCCCGAACTGGAAACTATCAGTCCCAAATATGGGATTTATAGGAATATTTCTATGGTGCCTCCGAGCTCCTGATTATGCCATGTCTTATTGTAAAAAACCCGTGGGATCACAAAAGATAAATGAGCTCGAGCGCAGAATTATTTAGTGGAATGCACCCTTTAAGTGTATCTGCCTCGACCTGAAGTGCACCCGCAAGCGGCAAAAGAATGATAGGTGGTTGCAGATTATCCAAGCGGGTTCTCGCACGCGTTCTGCGTCCACGCAAAGACCATACATTAAGGAATAAATTCGTTACGCGTCAGGCTCAGTGCGCTCCGCGTCAAACGCGCCAATGAGCTCCATTATAAACGCGTGCCAATTCGGTGAGTACACAGACATAACCCGAAATGAGGCTAATCGCGAACGTTGCAGTCACTGGTCTCTACTATAATAGTACCCAAGTGTGACGTCACTGTGAACCAGAAAGTGCAGTGCAAACGAATGGAGTACGCGCGCGTGTTGGTTCACTTTGGTACTCGATACTGACAGTATAGTAGAGATCAGTGGTTGAAGTGTATTTGCCAAGGTATTCTGGGAGAAAGGTCAAGCCCCGCCACGTTCCATCGTATCCATGCTCGAACAGTCCATCAGTGACGTCATTACCCTTGGGCAGCCTCCAGAGACCCGCTCGCCAGCGCAGCCGGCGTATAGCGGTGGCTGACACCAGGGCGGGCACGAAGATCACGTGATGGTTAAACAAACGCTCTCGATCGCTCGTGTAAGTTACACGTGTAAGCAAATCGAATGCACCCTATTTGGGATGTTTAAATTAGGATTTTAGTCAACGCGAGTTTACTAGCGACACAGATTTACGCGTGGGTGACGTGCAAGAGAAAAATACTTGGGCGCGCAGCTTTTGAAAAAAGGACGCGAATGACGTTACGTCATGTATATTCATCCCGAATAGCCAATCAGCGTCATTTTCGTATTCTACACAACCAAGGCTAGTGAAGGAACGCGCACGCAGCCCATGTAGTCGAGGTTGACAGTGCTGCTACTTGTGGCATCTGAAAGGGCACACGTTCCTTCGTCCATTGATTTAAGTTTCATATCCATATTTTCTGTACTTTGAGAAATATCCGCAAAAGAAAGCAAGAGGTTTTTGTCCTCCTGCTTGCCATTTTTGCGCAATTTTCCCTATGGTCGACACCTCACAGGTCCTTTTCTAGGGCAGAGTCAGTTGCTGTCAATAGAGTATTTATATGCAATTTCCCCTTTGTCCAAAGCTTATTTGGGCCTAGGCCTTCTCCGGTGCAAACAGTATATTGTGCCGGAAGGTATATAGAGTCACAAAGATGTGACTCTATATAAAGGTCGATGTTTATGTGATCGACGTTCATCTGTGATATCCAGAATGACATAGGCCTATTTATGGCTTGTTAGAAAATGTTTTCCCTGTTTTAATTGAGTGGTTATGCATTTTAGAAGTCCATTAGACGTCGGAAGTCTATAAAATTCTTCACAATCCGCTTTTATATTTTTGCTCAACACAAAGTGGGTGGATGATTCAATAACCTACCCCCCACACCTCACAAAAGCGGGGGGATATATACTCCCATGCCAAAGGGATTTAGGCCTATGCGTGCAAAGAAGGCTCCCTTGTATTCAAACACAAAAAGGACGAATATTGTCGAATTATTGCAGTCATGTTATATTCTTCTATCCAATTTTGTAAGTTTCATATCCGTATTTGCTAAAGTTCGGGAAACACCAAAAAGGAAAAGAAAACAAAAGTTATTGTCCCACTGCTTCGTGTTTCCTATGTGCAATCTTCCCTTTGTCCACAGCTTACCGGGCCTCTTACCGCCAAAGATTTCTCCCTTTATTCAATTCCGGAAATTGTCTAACTCTGACAAGTACAATCGTTTCAGCATTGGAGAGGGCACATATTCCTCAGTCTAATTGTAAAGTGTCCTATCAATATCTGATAAAGTTATGGGAAAAGGCAGCGAAAAAGGCGAGAGTTGTTTCTTCCTCTATTCCTGTGCAATTCATCTGTTTTCCACAGGAAAGGGCACAAATTCTTCTATCGTTCTGTTAAATTTCATATCCATGTTACTATAGTTACGGAAATAGATCAGCGAATGAAGGCTAGAGCTTTTGCCCCACTGCTTCGTATGTGCTATTTTCCCCTTTCCACAGCTGCATACTGTGCCTCTTCCCTCGCAAAGATGGCTCACTGTATTCGAGCAAAAGTCTGAACTTGAATTGTCCATTTCTGGCAATCGTGGTTGCATCGGAAAGGGATTATGTTTCTGTAAACATTGATGTAAGTTTCAAATCCATATTTGCTATTTACGAAAGAAGCCTAGAGCTGTTGCCTTACTGCTACGTATATTTGTGAAATTCTCCCTTAACTGGGCCACTCCCCGCGCAAAGGTGGCTCCCTACATTGGACCATAAACAGTCTATAAATAGTACAGATCTGCTGGGGTCGGGAAATGGGGGGGGGGTTACTACATACATGTATATTGTCGCCGTTTGTGGAGCCATTGAATCACTCTGTTTTTGTCCTTCAGTGTACTTAACAATTGCTTTACTACCTCCCCAAAGCTGTTTCTTTCATCGAAAGATGTTAGGAGCTGGTGTACGGTGGCCATTTTTGTAACTTAGTGATCAACGATAATGGCAATCTTGCAAAAATATTGTACCGGAAAACAATGCATTGGCCCCTTTCTTAGACACTGACTCATGTTATAATGTATATCCAAGAAGAGACAGAAGCCACGACTTGTCGTAATTATTTTGGAAACGGGTAAAAGGTATGGCAAACACACCACATGTACATGTACTTGTAGCGGCCTTTCCGCCTTTGTTGAGGGGACGTGTAAAAAACAACCCCCAGTCCCCCACAAATACTGTGCAGTACGGTGCTTTCATTTACAGTGACTGCTGTGAAGAAACACAACCCTATTATGGGTGCACCCACGGAAATGGGCCAAAAATCTGTCCTCCGAGCCAGCCATTAATAAGTTATACATCTCAAGACATTTTATAATTTAGACAGATCGGAAAGATATGGAATGGGAAAATTTAATATGGCACTGAAGCTCTGGTTCGGCATTAGGGCTTCCATTTCTGAGCAATCTGGACGTAACTGGGTCCAAAAGTACTATTTAGCTTCTTTTTTTGGGGGGGGGACGTGCTTTTTCAAAAAGGCTACTTTTCCCAGTCAGGGAAATACCCTTTGTTTTAGGGGTGGTCTGCTTTGGGTAAGAATTTGTCAAAAATCATTGGTCAACCCACCAAAAATTGATAGGAAATCGAAAGACGACGTGTTGCTTCTTATATTGCTGTGCAGCCTGCACATCTGTAAGAGTTGTATTCTAAAATTTAATTTTGAAGTATTTCACTGGTGTCTATGGGACTTTGGAGTGCACCCCTTTTTCTGGTAGATAATTTAGCCTCGCTCAGAAATGAACGTAATATAGGTGAAAAATACCATAATCTGTTTATTTGTAAGGGAATCGGTGAGGCATTTTGGGTCAAAATCATAGTTTATATGCTCAGATTGCAATTAGTATTTTATTGAATAGCTGAGTAACAAGGGGGCCTCACTACAGCATTTTGGGTAACTGTCATAAAGCCTTGCTCATGACATTTGTACACTCCCCAACTTCTATCATTAATTATAAAAAGGCCTTTTTCTGGTAACGGAACTTAGAGATTAAAGAGAGTGTTACTTTTTTCGAGAACTCGAAAATGGAAACTCAATAAAATACTCGAAATTGAAAGCAATTGTTCCTCACGCGTAAAGAGCGCAATTCGCGGTGACACCATATGACCAGGGGAGCGAAAAAGGGGGGGGGGGAGATTGTGTAAAACTCCCTGGCTGTTTGGATTTTTATCTCAGAGCAGAATGCATGGCTTAAAAAGTATTACCCAAAAATGGTCCTGAGTGCCCCCAAAAGTTGTCGGTTGCCACTTCCAGAATGGCAGCAAGCAGACTGTGGAAAAATCACTTTTCGGGGGTTGATTTAGTTATGTGGGAATTAAGTAAAGATGAAACTGATTAATTTACAAAAAAATATGAAAAGAAATCGAAAGATTAGGAACCAGACAATAATTTAATTTGTTTTTCAGAAACCTCAGGGGTGTTGGTACGCATGTTATTGGGCCCTGAACAAGGCTGGGTTTACACTGTTGTCAATGGGGTATTATACTTCTTTTACTAGTGGACTGCACCCCGTTCCGGCCCGGATGCGCCCGTGCACGGTTTATTGTTTTGTAAAGAAGTCAAGAGAGGGCGTTTTCAAATTTTAACGTAGAGCTTACCATTTTAACAGAAAAAATGCAGAGATTAAGGCCAGCGGCAAAATAATCAACGGAATGGGAAAACCTTGACGTGTTTGTGGATGTACTATGTAAGAAACGGGTCGGATAAATATGCTACATTCACTAAAACCACTTAAGCCTCAAATCGACTCTTCAGGACCCCGCCCCTTACATGTATTTACGATGATGATCCAGCGAGTTCGAGAAATACCCATTGTTGACATGGTAAATTTTTTCCCTGGTAATCTATGCTAAAAGATACAACCAGGGTACCAGGTAAACTCGATCACTGTGCTAAAACTTACTATATAAATCTGAATGCATTCCTACAACCTCTTTCCTACCAATGTAGCCAACATGTACATTGCAAAAATTGTACTCATTTTCAGACGCTTAAACCTGCAGTGAAGGTTGAACTATCATTCAATGCGTGCTCGTATCAGAGCTGCTTCAAGTTCAGGTACTTCCTGGTTAAAGATTATCAAAAAACATGAAAGAATGTTGAAAACAGTGGTATTCTAGGAGTTTGGGTGGTTGCGTGAGATACCTTCACATCATAATGTGATTGTTCGCTTATTGCTTTCGGTTAGAAGTCGTTCTATTGCAGCATTTTTTTTAACTTGAGTGTAAAAGCCATGTCGACTGTGAACGAACTCCGGCAAAAATTCGCCCAAGCTTCACCGCTGGGAGGCCCTGCGGCGGGTGCCCCCCCCCGGTGCCGTCTTCTCGAAGGCCTGCCCTGCCCACACCTGCATCCTCCACGGCAATGCCACCCTCGCCAGCTTACCAACATGACAAACGACCACCCCTACCAGCCCTGCCGGGAAAGCAACCTCCATCAAAACTCGGCAGTGGAAATAATCAGAGGTTTTCATCGGAATACCCGAAGGAAGAGGAGGCTGCTGAGCCGGAGTCGGAAGACTTATACCTGAACCCCGATGAAAAAGCTAAATCGCCAACTTTGGTGTCGCTGAACGCAAGCTCTAACTCCACAAACTCTGTCAGTGTCACGAGTCCCAAGCTTCCCCCACCCCGGAAGACCAGTGGCAAATTCTTCCAAGGTGGATCATCTTTCTCCTCTGAGACCAAACTTAACGGGGGCGGTCCTGGGGCCGGCGCCAGCAGCGGTGGTAGCGGGGATGGGACTTTCTTCAGTGGTGCATCAGTGACAAGTGTGAGCTCGTTTCAGACCAGCACATCAAAAGAATCGGACAGTGTGGGTCTTACATTTCAGTACTATGCAAATGAAGATCTTAAGCAGCCAGTGTTTTGGCAGGAGGTATGTACAATTTAGTTTAAGATACCAGTACAAGAGTTCCGAAAGGACATCATCAATTTTCCCTTTCACTTGCAGTGGTTTATGAGCCATCAGAAAATGATGACATGTCCTAAAAAGTCTAATAAAAAAATATTGAAGCACTTACTTAGTCTTCAAAAACATTCAACATTGGAATTTTTCAGACAAGTTTGATCACAGTGTGTACCTGACCGATGTTCAGATATTTCCCAAGCGTTGATTTTTCACAAAAATGTATAACTTTAAATTTACACATTTTTGTACATGTAGTTTTATAATTTCAGCACAGAAGAATATAGGTGGCACCAGCCCAAAAAATACCACACGTTCAGTTTGCATTTTGGCTTACATGTAAATGGATTAAGTCCCCCATTAACATGATTAAAAACTCTTTGATCATGTCGATCTGTCTTTAAAAAAGCATGTTCGTTTCCCATGCCTCCTCATGAAAGCTGCATAGTTAATGTCACAAATGTCTAGAGCTCTGCACTGTGACATCAAATGGTAATTTCTCTGTAATATTTATTTGTTTGTGATTGGGGCTTCCCTCATAATAAGCCTTATCCATATACTGCATGGGTGAGTTTGCACAATGGTAGAAAGGCATTGTGGGAAGGAAAAAGGGGCAATGTCTTTCTACCATTGTGCAAAATCGCCCATGCAGTATTTGCGATAAGGCTTATAAGAAATGGGAAAAGAATGTTGCGACCTGCCTCCACTTGTTTTCTTCATATTATCTCAATAAGGGTCAGCTACTGCAGAAGTGCTGAACAGACATGAATCTGAGACTGAAAAAAAAGTTCCAATTTTGTTAGAGAACTTACACAAACTTTTCTGGACTCCTCATAGACATTGTAGATGTGCACAACCACACAAGGGGGGTCAGGACTCACGATGCAACATGATTTTCTGTTGGGTTTCATTACCCTCCTCATTTGAAAATAAACATCTGATACCCTCTCAAGTCATAAAAATGCCAGCCTTCCATTTCTGTGATCTGAATTCAAATTCCATTGAGGCCGAAAAACATTGAGTCTTCAGAACCCAAGGGGGCAGCACGGACATCCGAGTTTCACAGTATTGCAGGTAGTAACCACATCGTGCCGATGAAAAGAACTGCAACGAGCACGTGTGTACGTACTGATCAAAGAAAAGATCATGTAAGCCGATCCTCGGACTGGCTGGTGCGTGCGTACGTCGCCATGGTTGCTGTTTTCACCGGCACGGTACCTGCCATTTTGCGAGAATCCCAGATGTCCATGTTACCCCACACTGCCTATTCAGTGGCTTTTCTAAAATATTCGCCATGGGGTTTAATTCTCATTTGTCACAAAATGAAGAGATAGTCATGGAAACAGTTACTGAAAATCCAACACGAAAGAGTGGTCACAGTGTGAAAAAACTTTTTATTGGAATTTTCGTAAACAACAATAACAACAAAGGAATGTCCAACTTGTGGCGAATCACCTCATACATGTACACGTACATGTATAGTATGTAATGTGCATGTTATGTCATGTTTGTACACTTCTTGCCAGAATTGTGCACATAGATGCACAACATATATTAGGCAATGCATACATGCTCAGTTGAATGATCCTCATAAACCTACCGGTACATGTACTGCACACAAGTACAATTTTAAATTCCACAAGGAAGTGGGAAGTTACAAATACGATTGTGACATATAGTATTGTACGTTTGTGTTGTCAAACCCACTTGTAAGTGCAATTAGTGTACCGCATACAAATTTCCGGAGTCCTTGAGAAAATGCATGTAATGAGGCAAGTCAGGGATGTCAACTACATACATGTACCCTTCTACAATTTTTCCCAAGTCAGGAAAAGGGACGGGGGGAAGAACTCTTTGTCCTGAATGACAATGCACATACATGTAGCTGTTTGAAAACTTAAGTTACGTATCTTTGATCTCATCAATTGCTTTCAACCATGTCAATCCATCGTACGGTACATGGCGCAGGTCCACACCATTACATGTAAATGCAAACTTTGCAGGATTCACAAATAACATTTCTTGCTTCATTTACCTTCAGGACAGTAACCTGGTAACATGTACATGTACATGTAGTTGCAAGAAATGATATACATGTACATACATGTACGTGTACGTACGTGTACCGGTACGTACATGTACAACACATGATGTTAAGTACCGGTACAGTATATAGTTTTCGGTAGATTTTGTCTTTACTTTTTTAAAGGATACATCAGTTTTGCCTTTAAAATGCTGGTACTTTTTGCCCATGTATGTGTACATGTACATTGTTATCATTATTATCATTAATAAGTGCTTCTGGTAATGAAACCAAGGATTCCTCAAAAGTGTCCTATCAGCACTGTAGCTCGCAAGCCTAAAGAAATCTGTAGAGAGGCGACAGTGAGAAGAAATTACAGTTGTTCAGGTGGGAAGAAAACCCCCAGAGGATTATTCTGGGTAAAACCAATCAGACAGAGACTGGAAACCTAATCCAAATGTGGAACGAGTTGGGGAATCGAACCTGGACTGTGGAAGTGGAAGGCGAGGAAAGAACCACTTTGCCAACCTGACTCCCCAAGTGGTTGGGATCTCTGAACTACATGTAGGACCCGACATTGATATGATGGACTTGACATTACATGTACATCATGTATATGCAGACACAGGTGCAGTATACATGTACATGTAGTCAACCAATGCCAACAATGAAACAGTGAAGTGTGTCAGTGAGTCTAGCGGCATGCCTGGAGCTCACCACAATTGTAGAGTTCCTTTTCAGTGCTCATAACTCGTCACCTTTTTATAATCTGTCTGTGGAACATGTACATGTACATAAATTTGTTCATACCAGTACATGTTTCACTTATGGCCACAATTTTGCTTTGCCTGTCAAAGCCCTTAGTCAGTCAGTTGTGTGGTGAGCTCCGAGTATGCCACCAGACTCACTCACACACTTCTTTCACAGTTGACATTGGTCATGTTGGTTGACTTCATGTACATATTTA